GTACGAATACTGTAGCTGATTATATTGACACTTTGCTGCTTTAACGAGCTGCAGTCTACCATGTATATATTTTCATTAATGTATGTATAATAAAATATATTCGAGATAATATACGCTTCTAACGGATATATTTGCAATCCACTCCATCAATGCAATCAAGACATTGTTTCGATAATATGTAATAATAAATTCAATAATTTAAAACTATATTTCGACAAATAAATAAGTTGAAGTTGTGTGTATTTTATTGATACCGCAATAATCTTTACGTAATAATTTTTAATAATCAATAATCAATAATTCAAAGTGATTCTTTGAGAACGAACTAGTAGATATTTGAAAATATCGAACGTGACGTGTAATATTCGAGAAGCTGCGATAATGATATCGATTGATCGATAGTATTATATCCAGCAGATGTCATTATTGTCGTGAACACATGTCCGTTGTATTTGCGGTTTGTTGAAACATAACCTATGAAATGAGAAACATTTGGGAAAACTAAATATTTTTAGTGATTGGTAATTAATTGATTCTTACGTAAATGAATTTAATTGTACAACAAACATCATTTGTTCCAGAATAATATTGTAATTTCTAATTTTATATTAAATATCTGCCTGTATTTTTACAGATCTGAATAGTTTGTTAATATAATCTACAAAAGATATTGAAAATGAGTAAATACAGAAGGCAAGAAACCTCAAGCGAGGATAGTGATAGTGAGGAAGAAAGGCGTAAGAAAGATATAAAAGAGAGAGATGAATTTGCGAATCGTCTCAAAGCAAAAGATGATAGTAAGACACGAAAAGTTGCTATGCCCACTGGCTCTGGAGCAGGTAAAATGTTGCAATATTTGAGCTTTTTTCCCTTTGAGAATTAATAAAAAAAAAATGTTTTTTTTTTCTTCTTTTTTTTTTTTTTTTTTTAAAGCTGAGGCAGCAAAAAGACTTAAACTCATGGAAACTGATGCAAGAGAAAAGCTTGTTCCAAAACTAAGAGTGGATTCCCGTAGAAAATATTTAGAAAAACGTAAAGAGGATAAAGTGGCCGAATTAGAAGCAGATATTATTGATGATGAATACCTGTTTGAAGAAGAAATGTAATTCATTAATTATATTTAAATTGATAATAATAATAATATAAGTAAAGCTGTTAATAAATATCGTTTGATATAGTTTAACGGAACGTGAAAAGCGTGAAAGAGCACATAAGAAACAATTATTACAATTGGCAAAGGAACATGAAAAGGCAAGGGAACTTGAAAGAGTACAAAGATATCATATGCCTTTGGAAAAGAAGAAATTAGAAGCTGAGGCAGAACCACCTGATACAGAACCACCACAATCTGAACAAAGTAAATGGGAATCCGATCAGATGTCATCTGCTGTATTTAGATTTGGGGCAAAAGACAGAAAAGGTATAATGATAATTATAATAATTCATTATCTTTATGATTCATTAATATGAATTTAAATAACAGCACAACAGGATTATGATCTTTTATTGGAGGATGAAATAGAATTTATTCAAGCACTGCGTATGCCTGGAAGTGAAAAAGGTACAAAGCGTGAATCAAGTCCTTCTCCGCAGGCTAAAATTTTACAAACCATACAAGAAACAAAAAAGAGCTTACCAATATATCCATTTAAGAATGATCTTATTCAAGCTATTAAAGAACATCAGGTATTGGATCGATTTGAAACAAATCTTATTGCAAAACTTAATAGATAATAAATAAAATTTATCACCATTATTTCAGATTCTGATCATAGAAGGTGAAACAGGTTCAGGAAAAACTACACAAATTCCACAATATTTATATGAATCGGGTTTTGCGGTGAATGACAAAATTATTGGTTGTAGCGAGCCTCGCAGAGTAGCAGCGATGTCCGTAGCCGCTAGAGTGGCTCATGAAATGGCTGTAAAACTTGGAAACGAAGTTGGTTATGCAATTCGTTTCGAAGATTGCACGTCTCATCGTACGCGTATAAAATACATGACTGATGGCACATTACATCGTGAATTCCTTAGTCAACCTGATTTAGCGTCATATAGGTAAACTTTTCAAATGCGAGAAAACAATTTATTGTAAATTGTAATTGGTATTATTTTGAAATATACGTTGTTTCTAGCGTAATGATAATTGACGAAGCACATGAGCGCACATTGCATACCGACATTTTATTTGGCTTGGTCAAGGATATTACAAGATTTCGTTCAGACTTGAAATTATTAATTTCTTCTGCAACGTTAGATGCAACAAAGTTTAGCGAATTCTTCGACGATGCTCCAATTTTTCGTATACCTGGCCGTCGTTTTCCTGTAGATATATATTATACAAAAGCACCTGAGGCGGATTATATCGATGCATGTGTAGTCTCGATTCTTCAAATTCATGCGACCCAACCGCCAGGAGATGTGCTAGTATTTCTAACTGGTGAGTATATAATTGACATAAATCATTAGGATCGTTTTATCGAACGTATACATAGTTCCAAGCATCATCAATTAGAATATTCATGACATTTAGCGAACTAGTTGCAAATCAACTAGTAACTTAAAAAAATGTCGATAAGGTCAGGACGAGATTGAGACGTGTCAAGAGATGTTACAAGAGAGAGTAAGAAGGCTGGGAAGTAAGTTGGCGGAACTTTTGATATTACCCGTTTATGCGAACTTGCCAAGTGATATGCAAGCTAAAATATTTCAACCTACTCCACCCGGTGCTAGAAAGGTATTTTTATTATTTTCCTTCATTTACCTCCACAAATCTACTTATGTATTAACTTATCTCAATAGGTTGTTCTGGCTACTAACATAGCAGAGACGTCTTTAACCATTGACAATATCGTTTACGTAATAGATCCTGGATTTGCGAAGCAGAATAATTTTAATTCGCGAACAGGAATGGAAAGTTTGATGGTTGTTCCGATTAGTAAAGCTTCTGCGATGCAGCGAGCAGGTCGTGCTGGCAGAGTAGCACCTGGTAAATGTTTCAGACTTTACACAGCATGGGCATATCAGCACGAATTGGAGGATAATACTGTACCTGAAATACAAAGGATAAATCTTGGTTTGTATTGATACGATTGAATCGTTTAACGAAATTAATTTCATCGCTCGCATAATAATAAAATGATAAAAATTACATTATAGGTAATGCAGTGCTCACATTAAAAGCCCTAGGTATTAACGATTTAGTTCATTTTGATTTTCTCGATCCACCGCCGCATGAAACATTAGTATTAGCTTTAGAGCAACTTTATGCTTTGGGTGCTCTCAATCATCGCGGTGAATTAACTAAACTCGGCCGACGAATGGCAGAATTTCCACTTGATCCAATGATGGCAAAAATGTTGTTAGCCAGCGAACGTTATCGTTGCTCCGAAGAGGTGGCCACAATAGCTGCAATGCTTTCTGTAAACGGAGCAATTTTCTATAGACCTAAAGATAAAATTATACATGCAGATACAGCTCGAAAAAATTTTCATGTCCCTGGCGGAGATCATCTCACTCTTCTAAATGTTTATAATCAGTGGCAACAAAGCGATTTTAGTACTCATTGGTGTTACGAAAATTTTATTCAGCATAGGTATGATGCACGAATTGTTTTCTTCCTTGTTTTACTTTGACATCGTCGTAACGATATATTCGTTCGATTAGATCGATGAAACGAGCCAGAGATGTTAGGGAACAGTTAATCGGCTTGATGCAACGTGTTGAAATGGAACTTGTCTCGGGTATTACAGAAACCGTTAATATTCGGAAGGTATCTAATTTGTTTTTTTTTTTTTTTGTTTTTTTTTTGTTTTTTTTTTTTTTTTTTTTTTTTTTTTTTTATCAGCTAACTTTGAAACTTCTAATTACTCTTATATTATAGATTTATTCCTAAAATATTTCAGGCAATTACGGCAGGTTATTTCTATCACGTAGCTCGTTTGTCAAAGGGAGGCCATTATAAAACAGCAAAACATAATCAAACTGTATCGATTCATCCGAATAGTTCTTTATTTCAAGAACTACCGCGATGGTTGCTTTATCACGAATTAGTATTTACAACGAAAGAATTCATGCGACAGGTATTATTTCGTAAAAATCTTCGAATTAATAATTTAATATAAACATTTAATAGACGTCTCCAATCGTTTTAACGAATTTATTAAATATATCTAGGTTACGGAAATAGAAAGCAAATGGTTGTTGGAAGTTGCACCACATTATTACAAGCCCAAAGAACTTGAAGACTCGACGAATAAAAAAATGCCTAAAGTTGCAGGCAGAGCACGACCAGATGCAACTACCTAAGTAACAGTAGATAAAATAGTTTTTGTACAGACGAAACTTTTATATCGCAAAAAATAAAATCACAATCCTTCATGATTGTACAATATTTTAGTATACCTTTGTAAAATGTAAATCCATTACTCATAGGATATATTTTATCATATTCCTTCGTTTCAGAGCAACTATTCGAAAGAGAATATAAAAAGAAATATGTGTAATTACTCGTTAAACGATAATGAAGCATACCTAAGAACTTTATACATTTTAAAAGCCTTTAGAATAATCAACTTGAATCGTATATCGTAGAATCTCGTCATTTATTTCTAACTATTTATATAATAATGTTGTAATTATACGTGATACTCGTAGGCAGAGAAATTGTTTGAAAACGATATACTAACTCGAATGCAGTGTTATAAAAATTTACCGACGGTATAGCCAGATAGAGAGAGAAAGAAAAACAGGATAATTATTGGCTATACATTATGATGTAAATTACATAGTATGTAGAATAAGACGATCTAAATATTTACTGTACTGGTAAAGAAGCCCTTCTTCCGTTGTTAACAAAGAAAGTATGAATAAAGAATAAACACAGAAAGACATTCATAACTATGGAACGTGCATACGTACGTACTAATAATTTGGTATTTTAGTATTTCTTATCTTCAGTGAGAAGATGAAACATATTTTTTTTTCTTTTCTCGTTTTTTCTTTCTTTTTTTTTTATTTTTATTTTATTTTTCTTTTTTTTTTTTTCTTTTTTTTTTTTTTAAGGACAAACTCCATCGAGATTCTACAATCTTGTGAAGCAAAAGATTGTCATATAAAATTGACTAAAAGATAAAACAAAATATTAATCGGAAGAATGCATACTCTTCCTTTGTCATTCGGCTTATTAACTTACGTTGGTTTTTGGCGACCAACCAAATGGTCATCGAATTCTTTGAAATATTTCATTTATAACGTTTATACGGCTTTCATGGTATTCCTGCTTTATACATTCGCATTCTGTGGATTCATGGATGCTCTGATTGATCATAACTTGGATAACTTACTCGAAAAGTTTTCGCTCTTTATATCCGTAATAGGAGTGTGTATCAAAGTGACGAATATTTTAATCAATCGAAAGACTGTTATTTCAGTTGCAGATATGCTTCTAAAGGAGATATGCATTCCACGTGATTCTAAGGAGCTGGCGATTAAACAGAAGTTCGATAAAAATGCCAAGTGAGTACTAATTAAATGATAGATAGATATTATATTCGGATACTAGTTAGTAAAGATAAGCCGTATAGTCAGCATTTTATATATAAGCCGATTAATAACGCTTTTTAGAAAGTTACAAATTAATGTAAAACGTCTTACCTTAGGATTATAACAATTTATTGCGAAATCTTGAACGAGACAACCGTCTTCTTCGCCACTGTCGCTCAATTTGGTAAATTCTTAGAAACTCGTACTTTACCACTTGCCAATTGGACACCATACGATCGTACCTCGAATATCATGTTTTGGATGACTTTACTTCATCAATCCCTTGGTCTCATGGTGTGTGCCAATTCAAGCGTGGCTCATGAGACCATAATATCCGGACTGATGATACAAATTTGTGCTCAATTGGAAATACTCTGTCATCGGGCAAGAATATTGCCAACGTTTCTGCAAAAGATACAGAAAAATTATTCCTCTGAAGAGGATCTTAAAAAAGTCGAAAATAAAATTATTGGTGAATTGGTCGAGTATCATCTTTACGTTTATAAGTAAAAAATTATTATAATTTCATTGAAAATAATGATATTGGTTGTTGATATATAGATACTTTTATACATTATTTGTATTTTTATTTTATATGTAAAATATACATGAGAGAAATACGAATTATTATTTTGTTACATTTATCGGCATTCTTATTTGTTCGTTTCATTGTTATTATTGATATCGTTATAATCTTATGAACTCATCATTTTACATATTTATGTATAATACTTTTTCGGGCACTGTTACAAAGAAATTGTTTAATTTTAGATTTGCTAAAAAGGTCAACGATGTGTTCACCTTTATGATATTCATGCAATTTTCTATAAGCTCTACAGTACTCTGCATGAGCGTGTATAAATTATCAACAAAAGATGTAATAAGCCTTGATTTCCTTTGGACATTTTTTTATCTCGCGTGTATGCTCACACAACTCTTTCTTTATTGTTGGTTTGGTAACGAAGTTACTTTAAGGGTCGGTATTTCATTGAAAAAAGAAAAGGAAAAATACATTATCTATTTATTTTTCATATGATTATACCTTCTTTTTTTTTTTTTTTTTTTATTATTATTTCATTTTAATTTTGTAGAGTAAAAAGATTGGAGACGCATTTTATGAAATGGATTGGACGTCATTAAGAGATAGAGTAATTAAAAGTCTTATTATAGTAATGGCACGAACAAAGAAACCTATCGAAATGAATAGTGGATACATAGTGAAACTCTCAGCAAAATCGTTTATGACCGTAAGTAACAAAGAAAGAATTAACGGGTAACATATTATCTTTTTAATAATTGTACGCTTATTAATTTTATGATTTAATTTCAGATAATTAAGGCCTCATATTCTGCTTATAATGTTTTACAAACTTCGTCATAATATAATTCTTATATTTACAAATATATATATATATATATATATATCATGTAACGGTGTAATTTCGTTCCATACCTTAAAACGTAGTCAATATTGTTAGTCCATTTTTCATTTCTACTAAGATCCACGAGAATAAGGAATAATAATAATAATAATAATAACAATAATAATAGAAGAATTATAGTATAAATATGATATCAATGCAGAATTGATTGTTCGAGTTTTTACTCGAAACTCATCTATACGTATCGATGGCTAGATAGAATTACTTGTGCTTATAGAGGGAATATTTTTAATTATTTATGAAATAAAATATCGAAAAGGCAAAAATACGTTGAAAGTTTTTAATTACAGACGAAAGACATGAAAGTCGTTAATGGCCAATAAATTATGCAACATTGATTTGTCCCTATGTCTGTCTCACTGTTTCTTACAATATTCGATAGGATTTATTTTATTTCTAAAGCGATAGAAATAACTGGAGCGTACGACAGAACGTACAGCAAGTTATAAAAAATTACTGACTGTATAGACGGAGATAATTACTGACTATACTTCGTAATGCGAACGATGTTTTAATGAACGGAAGAAAAGGAAAGACAATTTTTATAAATTCTTTTGCATATCGTACATAAGTCTTACATTTAAATTTATTATCTTATTGCAAGCTCTGATTATAAATCCTTACAGTATTTTCTTTTCGAGAGGAAGAGAAATACGAAAGATAGATTATAAACCAGACAGATATTACAAAGAACATCTTATAAATCGTAAAAATGCATATTCTTCCTGTATCATTTGCATTGTTTACGTACGTTGGATATTGGCGACCAGTGAATTGGCCAAAAAATTCTTTCAAATCCTATCTTTATAATCTTTACACTCTATTCATGATATTCATTTTATGTTTATTCGCATTTTGTGAAATCATCGATGCTTATGTCGATCATAATGTAAACACGTTCATTGAAAAGTTTACTCTTACGATATCGGTCATAGCAGTGTGTATTAAAGTTATAAATCTCACTTTGCGTCGGGAAAGTATTATTTCGTTGATCAATATGCTTTTGAAAGATGATTGTGTACCACGGGATTTGGGGGAACAAAAGATAAAGGAGAAATTCGACGAGAACGCTAAGTGAGTTATTTCTAAGTAGTACTTACTGAAATATGGTCTGACTCGTATAAGTAGAAAGTATCGTCGATGCGATTCGACAAATGCGCTTCTCGTATGTCTCAGTAATAAGAAATAATCTTTTATTATATATATTTTATACTCACGAGAATTGTTATCATAAAGAAATAATTCTTGTTATTTTCTTTATTGACATTAGGAAGATCACGATATATTGCGAATTTTTAAACGAGGCAACAGTAGTCTTCGCCATAGTATCACAGATCGTAGACGCCGTAAAAGAACGTATCCTGCCATTTGCCAATTGGACTCCTTACGATCATTCCTCGGACAGTATGTTTTGGATCTCTTTGATTCATCAGTCCGTAGCTCTTTTGGTGTGTGCAAATGCAAGTGTTGCTCATGAGACCATCATTTCTGGATTGATGTTACAAATTTGTGCACAATTGGAGATATTTGGTCATCGTGTAAAAATGTTGCCGATATTACTGAAAATGGCAAGAAAGAATTGCGATTATATCGTTAATTGGACGAGAGAGGAGAAAAGAATCATTCGTGAATTAATCGAGTATCATCTTTACATATACAGGTAAACAATATCTTCAGAAAGTAAAATATTAAGAAAGAAAATAATGAAGATATAATCCTTTCCATCTTCTAGTTTTGCGACTAAAGTCAACGACGTTTTTACTACGATGATCATGCTACAGTTCTCTATAAGTTCGATTGTACTCTGTTTGACCGTTTTTAGGATGTCCAAGACAGAAATCACTAGCTTTGAATTTTTATGGGCAGTTTTTTATCTTGCCTCTATGTTCATGCAAATTTTTCTCTATTGTTGGTTCGGCAACGAAGTGATATTAAAGGTCGATGTACACATAATATCTTTTATGTGGCATACAAAATTCTATACGTGTAATTATTGTTTTATATTTCTTTGTTTTCCTTTTTTGTTTTTTTTTTGTTTTTTTTTGTTTTTTTTTTTTTTTTTTTTTTTGTTAACAGAGCAAGCAAATCGGAGAGGTGTTTTATGAAATGGATTGGACATCATTAAGAACTGACATTATCAAAATTCTTCCTATCATAATGTCTCGAACAACAAAACCTATTGAAATGAGAAGTGGCTATGTGATAGTATTGTCAGCTCAATCGTTTACAAGTGTGAGTTAGTTTTTTCTTTTTTTTTTTCAAGACAGACATATTCTCTAATACTTCACATCGTTCTTATATAACGTTTAAACAAATTGCAGATATTGAATACATCATACACAGCTTACAACGTTTTGCAAAAATCCTCATAATAATTGAAAAAGTTCAGTTAGAGCAATCAACGTTAGTAAAAGCAAAAGTATCGATATTTTTCTGTACACAAAAATGTACAAAAAAATGTACAAAAAATAAGATATTAATTGTTTTACAGTTAACAATTATAAATCGACTTACTTCGAGTATTATTTTTCTAAAAACGATCTCCCTTTTCCAACGATCATTTTGTTCTTTGCTTTATTTTCACGATTTTTTTTTTCTTTTATTTGAAAAGTATTTCATTCTTGCTTTATAGGAATTTTTAATAATGAAAAATGGCAACATTCGCACATTTGCACAATATTTGCAAAAAGAATCCTTCACTATGTAATCATACAAATTCAGAGAGGAAAATATCTTTGCCTCTACAAAACGCTTAGGAATAATTAATAATGATAAATATAGAACATTGCAAAGTCATTGTTTTCTTCTAGGCAGTATTGTTTTATCGGTATGACAAAGTGTATGTAATTTTTCAAATTGATATTACAGTAATGATATACTTTCCATTTAGGGGAGAAGTAGAATAATATCGACCGTACGATTCATGGGAGAAGAAAAATATGAATAAACTGACACGTAACGTCATATCAGTTTGTGAGAAAATTTCACAATATTCGTTCCTAAGACAGGAACGATCTAATTCAACGAAAGATATATCTGTTTTAGGCTGAAGGCCTAATTTGTAGGTTCGCGTAGACGATGTCAGAGAACTAATATTTAAAAAAATCTATAAAGTTATTAATTTATCGAAAAATGACGATTTTAGCATCGACTTTAATGATTCTCAGTATCTGCGGATGCTGGAGACCACCATCCTGGTCATTTTCATATTACAAAAATCTTGTATACAATTTATACAATATCTGTGTAATTTTTCTAGTATCGTCTTTATCCTTATCGCAAATCATTGGTATTGCCTTAAACATTTCGAGCGATCTTTCCGAAGAAATTTACATATCTTTGACGATCGCTGTATCTTGTTTAAAAATGTTAACTTTTAAATACAATCATAACGATGTCGTCAAGTTAATTAACGCTTTAGCAGAGGAACCATACAGGCCATCGGATAATGAAGAAATTCAAATTCAATTGCAATTTGAAAAATTAGCACGGTCGGTTCTAGTAATAATCATACGATTTCTTGTAATATATGATTTTTCTTTTTACATTGGATATTGGATATTTAATTTGATTTCTATCAAAAATACTTTGCTATTTCTTCTTTCCAGGTTCAACACAAACGGTTATACATCGTTAATTGGATTTTCGGTGAGCAGCTACGTATTTATGTCTTTACTTACAGACCTCAGGGAAAAACAATTAACTTTTCAAGTTTGGTTACCATTTGACAGCACGACACCTGTTATATATTACTTAACGTACACTCAACAAATGTTAGGTATGACATTAGCCGGCTTTCTTAACGTCGCTCTAGATTCTTTGATCTGTGGCATTTTTATACATATTTGTTGTCAAATCAAAATTTTGGAAAATCGTTTGATGAAAATCTCCAACGAACAGAAGGCACTTTTAAAATTATGTGTTCGTCATCATGAATGCATATACAAGTTAGTTCACATTAGAGATTTTATAAACAATTAATTTGAAAATTAATTCTTGTCCGCGGAATGTCACTTTTATAATTTTAATAAGAAATTAAGTAAGTCGCAATATGAAATAAATAATTTCTTCATTGACGTATACAGATTCGCAGATAAAGTAAATAAAATATTTGGAGTTATAATGTTCATTCAGTTCTTCGGTAGCACAATGACAGTCTCTTTTACGTTATATCAATTGACAAAAATATCATCAACTTCTGTCGAATATGCAAAAATGTCGCTCTACATGTATTGCATGTTAATACAAATTTATCTCTACTGCTGGTATGGAAATTTAGTGACTTTAAAGGTCTGGTGAGAATTTAATATAATAGATAAATATTATAAATTCATTAGTGCTTATATAGGAATAACCATATTAAAATGTGCTTGAGAAAAATATGTAAATCATTATGTATGAAATAATACTTAATACTTTTAATATTCAGAGCAAAGAAATTATCAACAAGATCTTTGAAATAAATTGGACGATACTTGACAATAGCATCAAGACTTCCTTATTGATTATGATGAATCGTACTATGAATCCGATCTCATTAGTCGTTATGAAAATTTTCTCTCTGAATCTCGATTCATTCATCAGTGTCAGTATTTGCATGGCAATATTAAAATATCATGTAGTTAATTATTATATAATTTCATCGTTATCTCTTTTTTTTTTTTGTTTTTTTTTTTTGTTTCTTTCTTTCAGATAATTAAAACTGCCTATTCGGCTTATAATCTTTTACAGCAAACGCAAGAATAACAGAAAGAAAAGATGTAGAAATGATGCAGAAAGGAATAAAAAATATTGCCTAAGTTTGTAGTTACAAATAATAGACCAACAATATTAATGCTAATAAATATCAAAAAGGTATAAAAGTATTATAAAAAGAAAAAAAAAAAATAAAAGAATAAATGATTTACTTGCAAGGAACCTGTCGTACGACTTCCCTATTTATCTGAAGACAATATCATTGAGAATTTTCTTGAAAAAAAGAGAGTTGTACATTTCACGAATAGCTACCTTCGCAAAGTATTCCTTTCTATTATGTCGCTGCTACCATACAGCAGCGCATACGAATAATTAATAATCAATAATGATAGAACCTAGAAAAGTCGTCGTTCTTTTCTGAAAGATAATTTACATACCACAACGTTATTTTCGAAATCGTATCTTTTCATAGTGGACATTATAATAATGACGTACTTCAATGATAAAGTATAGAATTACATTGAACGTATCATTTATGGGGAAGACAAAATACTCGTATCAATGAAATAGATAAGTGTTCTTTTAGTTCGTGAGAATATTTCATTCAGTGCATGCCGGAAACCGGGAAGTTAGACTTCATGAAAAATTGTTTATCGTAAAATGATCGAAGGATTTATAATACTCGTAGAAAAAGTAGACGATGCTAGAAAAGTGATATCTCAAAAAATAAATTGACCTTTTTTTCATTCGCATATAATTATGGCTGTATTAAAATCGATATTTATTATTCTCAATATCTGCGGATGCTGGAGACCTTCATCTTGGTCGCTCTCCTTTTATAAATGCCTCATTTATAATTTATATACAATCTTCATAGCTTTTTTCATATCATTTTTGTCTTTATTAGAAATTATTAGTATTGCTTTAAATGCAAACAAATCGAACAATGTTTCCGACGATATTTACATATTCTTGGCACAATTTGTATCTTGTTTTAAAATGTTTAGTCTTGTGGTCAATCGTAATAATATTCTTAATTTAATTTTTATTCTGGGACAAGAACCATATAAACCATTGAACGATGTGGAAGCGAACATTCAAATTAAGTTCGACAAATTGTCTAGGTTTGTTATATAAATTTTCAAATATACAAAAAAAAGTATATACTATTTAAACTGTTTATATGACATATACAATGTAAATATCGAAACATTTGGATATCTTTTTTTCTCAGGTTAAACACTCACAGTTACGCATCGTTGATCACGTTATCAGTGAGCAGCTTTGTATTTTTCTCATTGATAACAGATTTTAGAAAAAGACAATTAACTTTTCGAACTTGGTTGCCTTTTGACGATAACATGACACCCGTTGTATTTTATTTAACATACGCTTACCAAATGATAGCAATGATATTAGCAGCAATGATACACGTCGCTTTAGATACTCTTATCTGCGATCTTCTCCTAAACATTTGCTGTCAGATTAGAATCTTGGAAAATCGCCTCAGGAATATCACGAATGAAAGAAAGGCCATTTTGAAGCTTTGCATTCGTCATCACGAATGTATATACGGGTAAATTTTTCTCGAGTGATTTTTTTAAATATAGTTACAAAAAAATGTCTACCGATTTTTCTTCTCTTTCTTTTTTTTTTTTTTTTCTTTCGTTTAGGTTTGCTGCTGACGTAAATAGCACGTTTAAATTTGCAATTTTCGTCCAATTTCTTGCAAGTACATTGACAGTCTGTTTTACTCTGTTCCATATAACGAAAATATCAGCGAATAGTTTGGAATTTGTAAAAATGACATTTTTTATGTCTAGTATGTTAACCCAAGTGTATCTCTATTGCTGGTACGGACATTTAGTCACTCTAAAGGTGTGGTAAATGGAATACTTATTATCTGTCGATTACCATTAAATTTAATTCTCGTGGAAATTAATTTAAGTAATTTAATTAAAAAAAAAAAACACTTGACCTGATAAAAATTCTTTTTTCCTATTAAACACTATTTCATTTCTGTAAAAAATAATTGCCAAAAATCTTTAAAGTAATCCCTTTTTACTTACGTATAAAATAATATTTCGTTTATTACGCAGAGCAAAGAAATTATCTACCAAATGTTCGATACAGATTTGATGGAGCTAAACAATGACATCAAGAAGAGTCTTTTGATCATGATGCATCGTACGACGAGACCTATCGTTATTATCGTTATGAATCTGTTTCCTCTGAATATCGATTCGTTCGTGAGCGTCAGTATGTTTATCAATATGATATCAGAATGTGATAATAGGTCCATGTTTTATGATCGTCTTATTTTTCAGATACTTAAGACCGCATACACTGCATACAACTTCTTGGAACAAACTTAAGAAGAGTAAATAGAAGAGACGTAGAAAAACAAAAAACTAATGTAAATTATTTGAACGTAGATACGATAAACTTATAATGTAATGATTGAAAATTACAAGAAAGATGAAAAAAGAAAAATAAAATAATTTACCTGCAGGAAAAGTCATCAGGTTTCCTGTTTTATTGTTTAAGGTAATACAACTATAATTGAAAATACAAATATGATTGAAAGATATGAATAATTTTAATTGTGATGTACAGAATTTTGTTTTCTCGAAAACTGAATAGCTTATGTCGTCTTGGGAATTGTTTTCAAACGTTGAACCGACAGAATAATCATTGATATACAGGTAAGTAGTGAAGACGTAAAAAATAACAAGAGAAATTCTAATCTTCTTTAATAAGTTTAGCTTTCCACAAATAGCAAGCATAGCAATTCACAGACTTAGCTATGTTATAATAATTTCATGTCAGAGAAAAAAATCAAAGCATTGTTACCCTACTATGTTGGGAATTCTACGCAGAATGCATAGGAATAATTAATAATCAATAATGATAGAACATTGTAGAGTCGTCGTTCGTTTCTATCGAAGTAGAGAGGGGTGATTTACATAATAAAATACCATTTAAGAAAACGCATCTTTTCATAGTTGTTATTATAATAATAACATACTTCTATTTCAACGTATTAAATTACTTTCATCGTATCATTCATATGAGAGAAAGAATAGTCGCATCAATAAAATAAAAATTTAGTTTGTGTGAATATATCCTTCAGTGCATGTCGGAAGTTAGACTTTATGAAAAATTGCTCGTCGTATAATGATCGAAGGATTATTATCCTCGTAGAAAGTTCAAGTAAACGATGCTAGAAAAGCAATATCTCAAAAAATAAATTGATTTCTTTTCATTCGCGTATAACTATGGCTATATTAAAATCGATATTTATTATTCTCAGTATCTGCGGATGCTGGAGACCTTCATCTTGGTCGTTATCCTATTATAAATGTCTCGCTCATAATTTATACACAACCTTTATAGCTGTTCTATTAGCATCTCTGGCTTTATCGCAAATAATCGGTATTGCTTCAATCGCAATTGATTCGGGCGAAGTTTCCGATGATATTTACGTATTCTTGGCACATTTAGTATCTTGTTTTAAAATGTTAAGTCTTGTGGTCAATCGTAATAATATTGTTAAATTAATTGATACTCTGGAACAAGAACCGTATCAACCATTGGACGATATGGAAACGAACATTCAAATAAAGTTCGACAAATTGTCTCGGTTTGTAATACAAATTGCAAAATGATTTGTATAATATATATATATATATATATATTATTTAAATTATATTATATTATACATATATAATTTACATATCAAAGTATTTGAATATTTTTCTTTCTCAGGTTCAATATTCACAGTTATATATCTTTGATCACATTCACGGTGAGCCACTTTTTATTTATGTCATTGATTACAGACTTTAGAAAAAGGCAATTAACTCTTCGAGCTTGGTTGCCTTTTGACAATAATATGACACCCGTTGTATATTATTTAACTTACGCTCACCAAATGATAGCGCTGACATATGGAACAGTGATTCACGTCGCTGTAGATACTCTGATTAGCGATTTTCTGCTAAACATTTGCTGTCAGATTAAAATCTTAGAAAGTCGCCTTACGAATATCACGAATGAACGAAAGGCTATTTTGAAACTTTGCATTCATCATCACGAATGTATATACAGGTAAATTATTGTGGAGTGATTTTTTTAAATATAGTTGCAAAAAAAAATGACTAACGATTTTTCTTTTTTAGATTTGCTGCAAACATAAATAAAACTTTTAAATTTGCAATCTTAATCCAATTTCTTGCAAGTACATTCACAGTTTGTTTCACTCTGTTCCAAATAACAAAAATATCAACAAATAGTTTAGAATTTTTTAAAATGACATTATTTATTTTTGGCTTGTTAATCCAAGTGTATCTCTACTGCTGGTACGGACATTTAGTCACTCTTAAGGTCTGGTAAAAGTAATATTAATTATCTATCGATTACCATTAATTTTAATTCTCATGGAAATTAATTTAATTAATTTAATTAAAAAAAAAACAATTGTAATAATGAAAATTCTTTTTTCCTATCAAACACTATTTCATTTCTGTAAAAAACAATTGCCGAAAATCTTTAATCATTCTACTTATTTATAAAATAATATTTTATTTATTAAGCAGAGCGAAGAAATTGCCCAAAAAATGTTCGGTACAGGTTTGATGGAGCTAAGCAATGACATCAAGAAGTGTCTTTTGATTATGATGCATCGTACGACAAGGCCAATCGTTATTATCGTTATGAATCTATTTCCTCTAAATATCGATTCATTCGTGAGCGTCAGTAAATTTATGTTGACATCAATATATGATAATAGTTCCATGTTTTAGGGTTTTCTTATTTTTCAGATACTTAAGACCGCATACACGGCATACAACTTCTTGGAACAAACTTAAGAAGAGTAAGTAGAAGAGACGTAGAAAAACAAAAAACCAATGTAAATTATTTGAACATATGTCTAGATATAATAAACTTGTAATGTAATGATTGAAAATCGCAATAGAGATAAAAAGAGAAGAATAAAGTAATTTACCTGCAGGAGAAGTCATCAGGCTTCCCGTTTTATTCTTTAAGGTAATACAATTATAATTGAAAATACAAATATGATTATAAAATAATATGGATAATTTTAATTTTGATGTACAGAATTTTGTTTTTTCGTAAACTGAACAGCTTATATCGTCTTGGGAATTGTTCTCAAATCTTGTTCTACCTATAGAATAATCATTGATATACAGGTAAGCAGTGAAGACGTAAAAAATAACAAGAGAAATTCTAATCTTCTTTAATAAGTTTAGCTTTCCACAAATAGCAAGCATAGCAATTCACAGACTTAGCTATGTTATAATAATTTCATGTCAGAGAAAAAAATCAAAGCATTTTTACCCTACTATGTCGGGAATTCTACGCAGAATGCATAGGAATAATTAATAATCAATAATGATAGAACATTGTAGAGTCGTCGTTCGTTTCTATCGAAGTAGAGAGGGGTGATTTACATAATAGAATACCATTTAAGAAAACGCATCTTTTCATAGTTGTTATTATAATAATAACATACTTCTATTTCAACGTATTAAATTACTTTCATCGTATCATTCATATGAGAGAAAGAATAGTCGCATCAATAAAATAAAGATTTAGTTTGTGAGAATATATCCTCACAGTGCATGTCGGAAGTTAGACTTTATGAAAAATTGCTCGTCGTATAATGATCGAAGGATTATTATCCTCGTAGAAAGTTCAAGTAAACGATGCTAGAAAAGTAATATCTCAAAAAATAAATTGATTTCTTTTCATTCGCGTATAACTATGGCTATATTAAAATCGATATTTATTATTCTCAGTATCTGCGGATGTTGGAGACCTTCATCTTGGTCGCACTCGTTTTTTAAATGCCTCGCTCATGATTTATACACATTCTTTATAGCTCTTCTAGTATCATCTCTGTCTTTATCGCAAATGATCGGTATTGCTTCAATCGCAATTGATTCGGGCGAAGTTTCCGATGATATTTACGTATTCTTGACACATTTTGTATCTTGTTTTAAAATGTTATGTCTTGTGGTCAATCGTAACAATATTGTTAAATTAATTGATACTCTGGGACAAGAACCGTATCGACCATTGGACGATATGGAAACGAACATTCAAACAAAGTTTGACAAATTGTCTCGGTTTGTAATATAAATTGCAAAATGATTTTATATATATATATATATATACACACACACAAATATATATATATATATATATATATATATGTATTGTTCAAATTTAATTATATTGTGCATATATAATTTACTATCAAAGTATTTGGATATTTTTCTTTCTCAGGTTCAACATTCACAGTTATGTATCCTTGATTACATTCACGGTGAGCCACTTTTTATTCATGTCATTGATTACAGACTTTAGAAAAAGACAATTAACTTTTCGAGCTTGGTTGCCATTCGACGATAGCATGACACCCGTTGTATTTTATTTAACTTACGCTCACCAAATGATAGCACTGACATTAGGGGCAGTGATTCATATCGCTCTAGATACTCTGATCAGCGATCTTCTCCTAAACATTTGCTGTCAGATTAGAATTTTGGAAAATCGCCTTACAAATATCACGAATGAACGAAAGGTCATTTTGAAACTTTGCATTCGTCATCACGAATGTATATACGGGTAAATTTTTCTAGAGTGACTTTTTTTAAAGGTAGGTATGAAAAGAATGTCTAACGAGTTTTCTTTTCTTTTTTTGTTTCATTCAGATTTGCTGCTGACGTAAATAGAACGTTTAAATTTGCAATCTTCGTCCAATTTCTTGCAAGTACATTCATAATCTGTTTTACTCTATTCCAAATAACAAAAATATCAGTTAATAGTATGGAATTTTTAAAAATGACATTGTTTATGTTTGGCATGTTAATCCAAGTGTATCTCTACTGCTGGTATGGGCATTTAGTCACTGTTAAGGTCTGGTAAAAGTAAAATTTATTATCTATCGATTACCATTAATTTTAATTCTCATGGAAATTACACGTTCACTTGGTGATGAACATTTCTGGAAATTGATGAAATACACTTGATCTGATAAAAATTCTTTTTTCTTATCAAACACTATTTCATTTCTGTAAAAAATAATTGCCAAAAATCTTAAAAGTAATCCCTTTTTACTTACGTATAAAATAATATTTCGTTTATTACACAGAGCAAAGAAATTATCTACCAAATGTTCGATACAGATTTGATGGAGCTAAACAATGACATCAAAAAGAGTCTTTTGATTATGATGCATCGTACGACGAGGCCTATCGTTATTATCGTTATGAATCTATTTCCTGTGAATATCGATTCGTTCGTGAGCGTCAGTATATTTATCAATATGATATCAAAACGTGGTAATAGTTCCATGTTTTATGATTCTCTTCTTTTGCAGATAGTTAAGACCGCATACACGGCATACAATTTCTTGGAACAAACTTAAGAAGAGTAACTAGAAAGATGTAGAAAAAGAAACCAATGTAAATGATTTCAATTAGTGCTTAGATATGATAGATTTATGATGTAAATATTAAAAATTGCAATAGAGATAAAAAGAGAAGAATAAAATAATATTAGCTACAAGAAAATTCATTGGGCTTCCTGTTTTATCGCTTAAGGTAATAAAATTATATTTTCATGTACAACTGGACAGCTTATAACATATTGTTTTCAAACATTGAAACTAAAGGATAATTATTGAAATAAAAATAAGTAGAATATAAAGAGAGGAATTTTAATCTTCATAGAAAAGTTTTACCTCTCGCGAATAGCTACCTTTGCAGAAGAAAGACTCAGGAATGTTATAATAATTTTATTGTCAGAGAGAAAAGAATCAAAGCATTTTTTCCCTTCTATGTCAGGAATTCCACGCACAGTGCATAGGAATAATTAATAATCAATAATGACGGAACATTGAAGGGTCGTCGTTCTTTTCTGCGAGATAGAGAAGAACGATTTACATAATAAAATCTTTAAGAAATCGTATCTTTTCATAGTTGACATTATAATAATGGCATACTTCTGTTACAAAGCATAAAATTACGTTGATCGTATCATTTATAGGGGAGAGACAATATATCAATAAAATAGAAAAGTGTTCTTTTAGTTCATGAGAATATGTATTTCTTTTTAGTGCACGTTGTGTTGCCAAGTAAATGGTTGGTAAAAAATGATCGAAGAATTTATAGTCTTTGTGAAAAGTTCAAGTAGACGATATTAAAAAAAAAAAAAAAAAAAAAAAAATAAGGGAAAGTTATATCTTAAAAAAAATTATCACAAAAAATTTTATCGTTAATACGAAAAATGATGATTTTAGCATCGTCGTTTACGATTCTCAGCATCTGCGGATGCTGGAGACCTCCATCTTGGTCATTATCGTTTTATAAACGTTTCGCGTATAATTTATACACGATCTTTATAGCTTTTGTAGTATCTACTGTATCATTGTCACAAGCCATCGGTATTGTTCTGAACGAAGGCGATTCGAGTGATTCTTCCGATGACATTTATATATTCTTCGCGATACTTATATCTTGTTTCAAAATGCTAAGTCTAATAATCAATCGCAATAAAATTGTTAATTTTGTTAGTACTTTAAGACAAAAACCATACAAACCATCCGATGGCGTGGAAACAAGAATTCAAATCAAGTTTGACAATTGGTCGAGGTTAGCAATACAAATTATTTATAATATATTCAATGATTACGCATTTGTATTTTATTTAATTTGATTTAAAAAGAAAATCGTAATATTTCTTTTTTGTAGATTGAACACACATTGTTACGTTTTCTTACTTTTTTTATCAACCGTTAGTTTCATATCCTTGTCTGTAACTACAAATTTGGTAAGGAGAAAATTAACTTTTCAAGCTTGGTTGCCTTTTGATAATAACATGACAACCTTTATATTTTACTTAACATACTTTCATCAAATATCAGCACTTGTAATAGCACCAACACTTCACGTTGCTTTGGATTGTTTAATATTCGGTTTTCTAATACATATTTGTTGTCAAATCAAAATTTTGGAAAATCGTCTGATGAAGATCACAAACGAAAATAAGCCTGTTCTAAGGCTTTGTATCCGCCATCACGACTGTATATACAAGTTAGTTAATTACAATGGTTTGCGAAATTTTTATTTAACGTCATTCTTTTGATTATCAAATATGATTCACAGACGTTTACTCGCACATGACTGCTATAACATTAAAAATTAACATAATCTACAAATATTTTTAATAGATCTTTCTAAAGAAGAAAGACTTCTGTTTCAATCCGTGAAATAAAAAACCCGAATAAAATGAATAATTCTACTTTTCTTTCATAGATTAGCCAATAAGGTGAATAAGATGTTCGAATTTACGATCTTCATTCAATTTTTCATCACCACATCGACAATATGTTTTACATTGTACCAATTAACAAAAGTTTCACCGATTTCCTTCGAGTGCGTAAAAATATTGATCTACATAATTTGCATATTAACACAAATATATCTCTATTGTTGGTACGGAAATTTAGTTGAAACGAAGGTTTGATTATAAGTTAAACATTTTTCAACGCATAAATACAATGAATATTTTCAAATTAGATGAAATTCTTATTTGTCGAAAATGAAATAATATCTTTTTTCAGAGCGAAGAAATTGCAACGATAATTTTCGATATAGATTGGATAACACTTAGCGATGACATCAGGAAAAATCTTTTGTTTATGATGAAACGTACGATGAAACCAATCGTCTTCGTCGTCATAAGAATTCTTCCTGTCAATTTCGATTCTTTCGTCAAAGTTAGTATTCACATACCCCTATAATACCGGATCCTATACTTCGCCACTATGTCTCTTATTTTAGGTACTTAAAACATCGTACTCGGCATATAATATTTTGCAGCAGACAAAAGAAAAATAAGAAGAAACGTAATATCGAAAAGGGAAAAGAATAAGTGTGTAAAAGAATCGGTTCGCAATGTAAATGTTGTAGGATAGAAAATATACATATAGGGAGAGAATAATAAAAGTTTTACCTGCAAGAGAGCTGCCTGTTGTATTTCTTTCTTTTGTTACGTGACAATATCATACTGAGTAAAGTGCACTCTATCATTTGATAAATCCATCGATAATAAAAATTTCAAATGGCTGGAATTGTATGCATTAGGATAAACAGTAGTCTCTTCTTATGCGACTATTGCTTGAGGGGGAAAGAGGGACATATCTTTTCCTGAATAGTACTATAGGTAGAAGGACAGTATCACTTCGTTTATCGTACGGAAAAATTCGTGACCTTTTAGCGAAATGTGAATTACGATTTTGTAAAACGAAATAATTCGTAACAACTTTTATTAAATTTTTCTTTAAATTTCTTTCTCTTTTCATTTCGACGATATCGGATCGTTGGATGAAAAAAGAACAAAGAGATAATTTAATAAATTCATAAAGAAAAAACAAAATAAATTATATAATTGCAAGATAATTATAACATTAATAATGAGCATATTATCGTTGACTTTAAAAATTTTAATATTTTGTGGCGTATGGAAGCCAAAATCCTGGACAACGACTTGCAAAAAAATAATTTATGGTACATATACTTTTCTCGTGATATCGTTCGTACATTCCTTTCTATGGTCGCAAATGATTGACATGGTCACTGTCGACAATATGAATGACTTCATTGAAAGCTCTCATATGCTTTTGACAATGGTGATCGGTTTTTGTAAAGCAGTGAACATATTGATGGCACGAGAGAAGATTATAAAATTAATTGATGCTCTCACTGATGGAATATGTCTTTCTCTTGATTCCGAAGAGTCGAAGATTCAAGAGAAATATGATCGGACTATTCGGTGAGTTTAATACTTTTCGTAATACTACTTTAATGTAATTATCTTTTCAATCTAAATTTGTTGTATTTTGTTTGAAAATGAATAATATGATATAACATTGATAAAAATAATAAGAAAATGAAAGAGAAGAGAACGGAAAGACAGATTTTTCTATAGATATTTCATCTGTACAGGGCTAATACGCTTCATTATGCCATCATGATCGAGACGTCAGTTTTATCGAGCATTTTAAATTCCCTTTTAACTGACTTACAAGCGAAAACGTTGCCCTTTAGAGCCTGGATACCTTACGATTATTCTTCCTCAATCGTTTTTTACTTAACTTACTTTTATCAAATGATATCGATGACAGCCTGTTCTCTCTTTCACGTTGCAATAGATGCACTGTTCTGTGGATTTTTATTACAAATTTGTTGTCAAATAGATAAATTGAAGTGTCGATTGAAACGCTTAAACTGTGATGGTCTCGACGGTCTTCGAAAATGCATTCAACATCATTATCAAATTTATCAGTAAGTTTTTTTTTTTTTTCTTTTCTTTTCTTTGTTTATCGACAAGAGATTGTTTATTATTTGAAGAAAGTATAAAGCCTTTTCTACTTGCAATAATTTTCACTTACTTCACTTTATCTCTCTGTAGAATCGCTGAAAAAGTGAACGAAGCTTTTGTTATGACGATATTTTCTCAATTTTTCATCAGTTCAATAGTCCTTTGCTCGAGCATGTTCGAGCTACTTAAAAATGATCTACTGAGTACAGAATTTATGGCCCTGATAATATATTTGTCAACTTTATTGGTACAAATTTATATTTTTTGTTGGTACGGCAATGAAGTGAAATTAAAGGTTCGTTAATTGAATAAGTGATACTAAATATGATATCGACTGAAATCAATCGAGTTCGAATTTAAGATTGTAAACAATAAAGATCATTTTTCATTTGTTCTCAGAGTATTCACATTGCCGTCGCATTTGCCGAGTCAAATTGGATGTCGTTAGATAATAGTTCGCAAAAAATGATTCTAATAATGATGCAACGTGCAGCAAATCCCATCGAATTTGTTAGCGGATATTTTATTACCGTAAATCTCGATACCTTCGTGAACGTAAGTATGATTTTATGTATGATTAATACAATTTTTTATTAAACTCGAACAATTGTTTAATTACAGTTGATCAAAACCTCCTATTCGGCATATAATGTTCTTCAAAAAGCGCAATGAACAATGAGAAAGGCGAATATTCCAAAACTTAAAAACTACTTACGTGTATGTATATACACACGCACTTAGAAATTTGTTAATACACGTATAGTTGTATATAAACATATGAGATCCTCGCAGGTATCATTTAATCTTGTTTTTTAATTGTCGTTAATTATTAATAAGGTCAAATAATGTTATTATACATATACAAATAACAATGTAAAAATTATCATTTTATTAATTCAATTTCTTCTTTTTAAAATAACTACTAAAAAACTACTTTTTATTCGATTTACAATCTACTCGAACGAAGCAAAGATCAATGAAGAAGATTGAAAGAGTTAAACGATCGTAAATTTGCCAAACGGACTGTATACTCAGCACTATATTCACCTGATTATTTTAACGAAACAATATAGAGAACGTAACAAAAAAAAAAAAAAAAAAAGAAAAAGCGATTGAATCTTCAAATATTTATACAGTCTTTCAAGGATCTTGAAATTTGGCCAATTTTTTAATAGTAGTATCGTTATACAATGATAAAGGCGTATATATGTATGTAAATAGCAGTGTTAAAAGATAAACGTGGCCAATGGTCAGACAATAAATTCGAATTTTGAGCGTCGTTTTTAAATTTCAATAGATCAATTTACAATAACAATTATGTTTTCTTCTAATCTTCGTTATTTACTCTATTCAACGAATACGAGATATAATTTTAAATACTCGAGATATTTTCGAAATAAAATAAAAAAAGTGAATCAACGAAGAGAGAGCAGTGCAAAGAAAAGATTCGATAAGTTTGATCTTGTCGGAAAGGTGAGAGAATGAGAAATTTTCGTGTGGACGTTGTAAGAGCAGAAAATAAACGTCGGGGCCCCACCCCCGACGTAAGTTTTCGTGACGGGCCATTTTTGGGGCTCCCCCACCAATCAGATCTAACGTATTCGTATCCTTCCGTTCGTAATTTTCGAGGGCTAGCTTTCCCGGTTCTCTCAGACGCTCAACTCGTGCCGTTCAGCTCGCTCGAGTTAGGTAAGTTCCTGCTGTAAGTTCGTCAACTCGAATTGAAGAGATGTCATCGACGAAGAAAACCATCTTCTCCTCCTTCTTCTTCTTCTTCTTCGTCTATTTCTTCTTCTTCTTCTTCTTCTTCTTCTTCCACGTTCTTCATCAACATTGGTCGTTCAAGTGTATCCCTTTTGTTTTCATATTCCGTTTCACTTTCACGTATCTATCTTCTTCTTTATCGATGATGAACGCGAGTGCCGAGAAAAAAAGGATATACGTGAGAAGGAGCCTTGTCTGTCTGGTCTCCTGTAAATAAAAACAAAAACTAAGATAAGAAAAAATTCGTGAATTGCAAGAAGATTCAAGTACCACACGGCGACTAACGAGGGAAAAATAATAAAGTAAAAAAAAGAAAAAGAAAAGAAAAAAAAAGAGAGAGAGAATGACTACGCTTAAGCTTGCAGTAGCTTTTGTGTTTTTTTTTTTGGGAAAAGACACTTAACAAGAACGCGTTGCTATCGAGGATGCTTGTAAGTAGAATTAACTAAACTTGCCCAGCCAATTGACTTTGATAAATCATCCGAATTGATAGAAAGAGGGATTAGAAGAGAGATTAAAAGTTTTTATCCATCTATTAAAAGAAAAAGTAAAAATAAAATGTTTTTAATTTTAACTTGTATTATGTGATAGTATTATCAAAGGATAGATATCCAGGAGTGGATAAAATTTTGTGATTCACACTTTGCGACGAAAATAAATCGGGTTGCTAGCATTCGATGGTTCCGCTTGCATGCTATTTTCAACCGCTCTCTCCGGAAACTCTGTCTCTCCCTTTCTTTCTCTCTCTTTCTTCCTCTTGATTATCAAGGAAAAGAAAAATCTTTTTAAGATCTTGAAAATCTCGACGAGCCAATATTTTTTAATAAACGCGATTATCCTCGCATGCTAAGCTTTTCGATGTATTTGAGTTCGATTGACCATCTATCTCTTTCTTCTTTTTTTTTTTTTTTATTTGCATAGCAAACGCCACGAAGCCTCCGAATTATCTCACAGGACGTCTAATATTTGCTTTAGGAGGAACTCCGATATCTTCATGAGATCCTTTAACACCGCTGCCAAATATCGTTAAAAAAAAAAAAAAAAAAAAAGAAAAAAAAATGCTGCTACACTAACGAACGAGAATTTGCTTTTGGACGTGTAACATAACGTGCAATATGTCGTAAGTAGTATTTCTAATATCGTCTAACGATATGTTTTATCGATCTAACGCATAATGCTTAAATAACAATAAACATGTTACCATTTATTTATTTTAACAATCCTGTGCGCATGTGCATATTGCCAACATGTAGCAATAATAATAATTGTCGAGATAGCAGTAACAACGATTCGATGGAGAACGATGCTTGGAAATATTCACAAAAAAGATTTTCTAATTCCAGACTCTTAGGAGGATCTTTATAAATAAACGCGAATGGCAGAACAACTCGTCCGTGAGAACTCGCGTTCTCAAGAAAGCTAGGTTTCATCTCACGCGTTAAAAATGGTTCGAGGATTCGAAACACTCGGCATATTTCGCAAGTGTCATTTTGACATATTCGATCAGGTGCTCGTTAGATATTCCAGAGGAGTATATTAATACTTTTCACTAGCATACGGGCAACTTTGAAATGGTCTTAGAAATGGCTTCTTAATGAATCATTCAGTTTTGACTTTATTCGCTTTGCCAGAAAATTTACTAAGTCGATCGAACGTCGTTGGTCAGTCAATGATCAATTGAGAGACGAGACTAATCGTTGTTGATTTTTATATTATTCGAAGAGAAATAAAATGCATACCGCGCATGCTCCCATTTATAACTTTTGTTATACGAATAATAATAAGAAGTGATATCGATGAGAAAAGATGAGAAAAATGAGAAAGTAATAGGGAATAGGAAAAGAAATATTCAAAATATAAGATTATTAAGTATCGCGATTATTCGCAGGATTCTTACTAAAAGCTTCGTAAAAGCTATTAATAAGCGTCAGTTAGATCGAATGTCGGTCGTCGGTGGGAAGCCAAGTAAAGCTCGTTCTTCTGGCTTACATTCTGCTAGTTTTGCCCTCTTCTCGTCGCGCCATCGACGTCGTTTCACGTGTATTTATAGAATCCGGCTGTAGATGCTATTTCCGTGGACACCCTGACGTGCTCTTTTCCGTGCACGCGAACGCACACACAATCGGACACATATTACACAGCTAAAAATTATGTCTTGCAATAAGGCGTTCTTTCGAAAGCACCTCGAAATGTGGAAACCTCGAAAGACTTGAAATTCGATAACATTGTTTTGCAATATGTCACCTTCGTCAAGCGTCACGTAAGAATTTTTCTTTCGTTATTTTTTTCATTACTTTTGATCGTTGATCGTTTTATTCACACGAAACAAATCCATCTTGTCTTTATGATGATCGTCTTTGATGTTACTTTTGTTCGAACGAAAAAAACTGCTCGCCAAATGTGATCTTAATTAGGAACGCAAATCATTTGCATACTAAAACGAAATAATTTGGAAACTAATTAACATGGATTTATCATCGTCACCCGTCCACTCAAAGATCGTTCGAGAGAGAATAAAAAATCGCCTCCTTTGTCCTTAACTAAACTTTAATGATTTTTGCAGAAGACTTGATCGTTTCGTGAAGAAAGTCGGAAGGAAAAGGTCGCCACCATGGACGCGATCAAGAAGAAAATGCAAGCGATGAAGCTTGAGAAGGACAATGCGCAGGACAAAGCCGATACCTGCGAAGCGCAGGCAAAGGAGGCGAATATGCGCGCGGATAAGGTCCTAGAGGAGGTCGCAGAACTTACGAAAAAACTCGCTCAGGTCGAAGGTGATCTCGAAGCTAACAAACAAAATCTCGAGCAGGCCAATAAGGATCTCGAGGAACGTGAAAAGTCCCTTACCAACGTAAGTGTTTTTCATTAATCAACAAATATATTTTTATTCGTCATAAAACTTTCTTGTTTTCAATCCTGCCATTAAACAGCGATATTACATGTGATCTTACAGTGATATTACAGTGATCTTACATGTAGATATTTTAAAGATCAAGTTCGAACAACGTGTGTAGATCGAATCACAAAAATTCGTGTCCTTGGTCTCATTCATTTTGGATTCGGTCCAACCGATATCTCCTCTCGAACGTAAACAAAACAGATTGGTTTAGTTAAAAAAAGCTCAAGAGAAACTATTTTTTGTATGTCATTCACGTACGACGATCGTATTGTGTTCAGGCCGAATCCGAGGTCGCCGCTCTTAATAGAAAAGTCCAGCTGATTGAAGAGGATCTAGAAAGATCCGAGGAACGTCTCAACACTGCGACTGCCAAACTCGCTGAAGCGTCTCAAGCTGCTGATGAATCTAGCCGGTAAAGAGAGACTTTTATTTCTAACATTTCTTATTATACTTATTTATTTTGTTTATTTTTTATTTTCTCTTTATTTCACAAATAAGACGAGAGAAATATTGCTTTGCAGGTAAATCGATTTAATAGAACTCGCGTAACTTTCATAAAACAAATAATATTTCTTATTTTCTTTATTTTTATCATTTTTCATTGCAATTTCGCAGTATGTGCAAAGTATTGGAGAACCGTGCACAACAGGATGAGGAAAGGATGGATCAGCTGACGAATCAGCTTAAGGAGGCTCGTCTTCTAGCTGAGGACGCTGATGGAAAATCAGACGAAGTTTCACGCAAGCTGGCCTTCGTTGAAGACGAGTTAGAAGTCGCTGAGGATCGTGTCAAATCGGGCGAAGCGTAAGTCTTCATCTTCTTAGAAAATTATCCTCTAGGATAATTTTAACCAATCGATTAGATCGTTTAATATTTCATTGTTATTTAATTGACAGGTTAATTTAATTATCAGGAAAATGAGGCTTTTTTTAATAATAAAATCAATATTATTTTTTCACATATTTTAGAAAGATCATGGAATTAGAAGAAGAATTGAAAGTCGTCGGAAACAGTTTGAAATCTTTGGAAGTATCCGAGGAGAAGGTAATTTTTTCAACATCATCCCTTAAATTATGTTCTATTTTTTTTTTCTATTTTTTTTTATTATTGATCTCATTTTCGTTAGGCTAATCAACGAGTCGAAGAATTCAAACGTCAATTGAAAACGCTGACTGTTAAACTAAAGGAAGCAGAAGCTCGAGCAGAATTCGCTGAGAAGACAGTGAAGAAACTCCAGAAGGAGGTTGACAGGCTTGAGGGTAAGTTCGACGTACTCGAGCGAGTATAATTTTCTTAAGGGTAACAAATTTCTTTCTATGAAAAATGAAACGTTTGGCACGTTGATGCGTTTTCTCAGAGTCATGTTCGAAACGCAAACTCCCTTGGATTTACGTGACATAATTTGGCAAATTGTCAATGAATGCTCTAAGAGTTACCAAACAAATCAAATAAAATAAGTCTCGTAGATCTATTAGCAAATGTAAACAACATAATGTATGATGTAATTGGATAATTTTTTACTATTAACCATTTTCATTCGCTCGTTTCCAACTATACAAGACTTTTGATATTTACAATAAATTCGCAATTGTTTTATGATAAACAGTGATTCCTATAGAAAGACTCTTTTATAAGTGTAATAATTTTTTTTTAAAGCTTTTTTATTCGTCTCACTCTGCTTTAGAATCATAATTGACTATTTCAAAATCATATTTTTGTATTATGAGCTTTGTTCATAAAATAATACGATGAATCATCCCTCGAATTGATTACATTTGCTCAAGAAATATGTGGTAATATAACTTTTATCGTTCGGCAATTAAAATAAATAATAAGATTTTTCAAGCAGGAAACTAAAAAGAAGAAATATGAACAATCATTTAACGATCTATTTCACGAAACTTTGAATGCAAATTGATTTGTTTTATTGCAGACGTGTTATATCACGAGAAGGACAAACGCAAAACAGTTTGCGAAGAATTGGACAAGACGTTCGCTGAGCTTTCTGGCTACTAAAAGCAAAAAAAAATCTCACACTCGCTATATATATTTATCTCTCTCTCTCTCTCTCTCCCCCTCTCTCTCTCTCTAAATTTACTCATTACCCCTTTACTCTATTCAATTCCTTCCAGTGTCCTTCATACGTTCGTGAATAAGAATATTTGTCGCTTTTTTGCAATGTTTTTCCTTTTTTCCGAAATTGGACAGGATCGTTTTGATTTTTAACAATTGTAGATAATTTTTTTCTCTCTTTCCATATAATTTTTCTCTAATCATTTGTGTCCGATTTTGGAAAGTTTTGCTTGGTTTTCATGCAGCTTTGAAGCAGCTGAAAAGAGAGGAATTAACTCGTCCCTCTCTTTTCTCTTTTTTCTCGTTCATTTTTTAATTTACGTTCAGCATCATATTTTAATTAATACATACTGACGCGCATAAAACTACATACACAATTGACAGCTTGATAAGAATATAAAAAAAAAAAAAAGCTTAACAACTTCACCCGAGGGTGGATCATCGTAGTTCAGGTACTTTTACCACCAGCTCTTGCTATATTGTGCCCTTTTTTTTTTTTTTAAGTGTTTGTATCGTTCTCGTACCTCATCAATATATAAATTTAAATAATCTCCATACAGGAAATAAATATATATTTATTATTTATAAAATATTGCTATGGTATATATATATTTCGTATGGATAGATATCGGCATCCTGACTAAAATAAAAAATTATATTTCTTTTCTTTCTAATCCTAATCGCTAACACCGACTAAATAAATTCGATAGTACACCCAAGCTTTCGCTCAAGCTCGATTTTTTGACATACTTACTTATTTTTCGACTCAAGTCTATTATCGTCTCAGCTGAGAAAAAAAAAACATATCATAACGATTTGAATGTTCTTTTTATATTTTGAAACGACGACGTGTAGTAGTAGATCGTTACTATAGTTAGTAAACTAGCAAAATTTTATTAAAACAAATGATATTCGTCGTTGATTATTTTAAAGAAATATTTTACCCAGGTATGGTAAAAAGTAGAGGTAATATCGGTACTACTTACAAAATTAGTAAAAGCTATCTTAATGGAAAAAAAAAAAAAGGATAGTCTACGGTAGTTTAATCGATGATCTTAGAATGATTTGTTTACTTCATAAAATCATAACACTAACGTGATCATTCTTAATTTCCAGACGAGCTTGGTATCAACAAGGACAGATACAAGTCACTCGCCGACGAAATGGACTCCACGTTCGCCGAATTGGCAGGATATTAGATCGATTTTCATATTTATTATGCTTCGGCTAATTTCTTTCATCGATTCTGCCCTTTTTTTTTCTCTCTCTCGTTAAAGGCAACGATTCTCTCGTCTCGAGGAACTTCGAATTTTTCGTGAAAAGAAAAAAAGGATGGGTGAAAGATCTATCGCAATTATGATCAAGATCAATTAGCGATCATCCACGCGTCCATATTCATTTCTTTACGTTAATCGTGACGGACAGCTAATTAAGTTTTATTCTGTTAAACTGTTATACGAAGAGTATCATGTAATAAGCAACTGTAATGCAACGATCATGTTAATAAACTACCGTAATAAGACATGGTAGCGATTCCGTACTGGGGGAGAAGAAAAAAAAAAGTTAACGCTCTTTTAAACTTCGTAATGTATAATTTAACATATTATTTAATAGAAGAGAAAAAGAAAGAACAAGAAAAGCAGTGTTGTCCCAAAACATCGAATTATCGAACGGTAAGTATCATTTCATGTAACACTTGTGTAATATATTATTTTACATATACTACAAAGGAATAAAATTTTTGTAAGGCAATTATATATAAGACCTTTATTATATTTTCTATTATATTTAGAGTAAACAATATACACAGAATGAGACGTGCGTTCATCGAATGGCATATTATAAACTGCAATGCTGCCTTGTACTGTGTCTTTGAAAGTGACGAATCGTCCCTTTCATTTCAAGAGACAATTCTCGTTCTCTTATAAACTACTATTTACAATATTATGCGTGTTATAGTTTTATTCTATACTTAACATATTATGCATTCGATGAGTGTTTACAAAGTAATGGTATTATGAAACAGATAATCGTGTAATTAACATTTTAGAAAGAGAATACCGTAATGATCGCTGTTGTATTCATTCGAGAAAATCATACAATCATATATATCTAATACTTATTGAAATTTTTAATTAAAAAAAAAAAAAGAAAAAAAAAGAAAAGAAAAAATAGAAGAAGATAAGAAATACATACATCACACATACTTCATCAATCAAATAAATAAACTAAATTTAGTAAACGTACGATGTAAAAGTTATTAGAAATTGGAAACTTTAAGAAAAGTTGCAGATGTCTTTGCGAGAAAAAATCGATCGATTATTAACTAATAAGGCGTAATATTATATTATACGATATCGACACGCAATATCTGACAACATACAATACTTAATACAATTATCTAGTTATATTTATCACTTTATGAAATGAATAATATCAACGATTGTTGAGAGGAAGGAAAAAAAAAGAAGAGAGAAACAAAAAGGACACCATTAATTAACATTCACATGGAAAATCATGCGTTTCTAAATGCTTTATCTGGTGACATTTGAAAAGACTTTTTCAAATATATAGATTGAATAATCTTAACTACGTCGCTTTTATGCGAATACCACATTTGTTTGCAGCACTGAAAAAGGAATCGATATATAATCTATTTCTTATGAAATGACACACTGTAAAACTATACATGGTATCTTAATTTATGTATTATCATCATTTATATACACTCTTTTATTTATTATTTATCAATATCAAAACGTTAAACTTTTTCTATTTGGTGTATCAATTGCACACAACATCATGACTGTTTCAATGATATTTGAAAAGTGCGTTTATGTAATTACAATATTTTTGAGACTATATATATATATATACGATCTCATTTCGTTCGTTATCCTAAATATTTATCGAAAATCGCAAAATTCCTTGCAAATTCCGTATGTAATAATAAATTTACTAAGGACAGATATTACTAATACTGAAGTAGTAATATCGAGATCTTGAACACAACAGTTCATAATGGATCAACATATTTACAAGAAATATTCTAATTGTAAAATGTAAGTATAAGTGTATTGCAAAAATAGAATTTAACTCCATGTCTATTTATATATGAAAATTATGAATGTGTAAATATAACAAATCAAAATTTCAACAGATTAAATTCAGTTAATTATTTAGCACCTTTATATATATAGAAAAAAAAAAAAAAAAAAAAAAATAAGTATTGTTATTTCTTCCCCTACTATTTATAAGACGAAGTGCACTATCGGGCGATAATAATAAAGAGAAATTATTAAATTTTCATTTTGCAATATCAATCTTATACAACATTATTAATTTTCTATATGAATAAATACAAGATTCTATCTTACAAACTACTTATTCTAGACAGCTTTTCAGGGGAGATTACATAGCAAAGAAAAAACCTACAAATTCTTTCAGATAAATCATAAAATTAATCAAAAATTGATTATTTTTACTATTTAAAATCCAAGTGTTCGTTCAAAAATTATGTGAATAAATGCACATTTTAGAGATTATCATGTAAGACTCCCCAGAAAAACGTTTCACGTAAATTCATCGAATGATAAATGAGATATGAGATAAAATTAATTTCATTCCAGCTCGAATAAAATAATGATGATAAAAAAGTGTCTTAAAAAAGAAAAAAGAAATTATGCTCTATAGTTAACGCCATGCTGCTTTTCTTATAAATAACAACTATATTTAAAAAAAAAAATAACAAAAAAAAATCAAAAAAGAAAAAAAAAGAAAAAGAAAATAGTAAAATTAAAAAATATAAAACCAATAAACACCTTCTCCTATCAGTATTTTGATATATTGTGTATTATCTATATATATTTACAGTCTCTATTAAGTTATCATAAATAAAACCTTCAAGAAATGTTTATTAATCAGTACATAAACACGTATATTATATAAAATAATAATTCGTTCATTTCACCATTGTTAGTTAACAACAAGGTGGAGAAGGTGGAATAATAGTTCACTTACGTGTTTCAGCAAACAAATATATCATTTTCATTTAGATAACAAAGTAAAAATATTAACTACATGTTGCGTTTTGGAGTTTTCATTATCTTCTTGATATTCTATTATGTAACTGATGGAATAGCTTTCGTGCATCCTTAATCAATTTCTATCAATTAAAAGATCGTAATGTACTTAAAAATTTCATGAAAGATAATGACATTATCATTTTCATTAGCACTTTTCATTAAAACTGGTTGATGTAAAATGTCCAATACATATTATATCTTAAAGCTAAATGTGTGTATATACAGTCCAATATACATACATACATACATACATACATACATACATACATACATCATGCATACATACATGCATACATACATGCATACATACATACATACATACATACATACATACATACATACATACATACATACATACATACATACATACATACATACATACATACATACATACATACATACATACATACATACATACATACATACATACATACATACATACATACATACATACATACATGCATGCATACATACATACATACATGCATGCATACATACATACATGCATGCATGCATACATACATACATGCATACATACATACATGCATACATACATACATACATACATACATACATACATACATATATATGTATGTGCATATGTATAACTTTTATGCTATCTAAATACATATAATTTATATGCATTCATTTGGCTGAATTAAACTGTATTATTATAATGTTTAGTACATTGCAACTGAAACAATGTAATTTATATGAATCTAATATAAAAATCAATTTTTCTAAGAATTAAAAGTAAATAGCGGAATTCTCCAGGGTTATTATCGTATGATAAACGTTTCATCACACAGTGAAAGGATTGATAGATCGAAGATGACTTGATATGACTTACGCATAGAGCAATGTACAACAAAAAAAAAAGAAAAAAAAAAAAAGAAAAAAAAAAGAAAAAAGAAACAAAGAAAAAAAAAGTGTCATGTTTTACATTACAGATAGTCATGATGCAGAAAAAAACTGTTGAAGTCGTTGTACTGTTCTACGATCGAGAGCACACAAATCAAAATCAAATGTTTTCTTAGTAATTTCATATTGTCCCGTCTCTTCTATTACCTGAACAACTCTCTGTAATTCTGTATTATCCTGTAATGTCATTATTTTGTGCTGTAAATCCTTCAACTGTGACACATAATCTTCGGAAAATACAGGAGGTTCCCCTGTGTCTGACTCTACCAAAGGACAATTTGTAGAGTCCGGAGCTACCTGTTCGCCATCGGTTTCTCCTTCCTTCTTAATTGTTTGTTCTGTGATGTGACGATCTTCCTTCTCTTTCATTATATGAATAGAATCGACGTCCACTACAACCGGTGATTGACTGGAAGATACTGGTTCCAACAATGGAGAGGTCGAATGACTTCTATCCTTTTCTCTTTTAAGATTATGTTCTTCATCACCCTTACTTTCACTTCTTCGTTTTCTTTTCCTGTTTTCTCTTTCTTCTCCCCTATTTCCTTTTGGTTTTTCCCTCTTATTACGATCATTTTTTTCTTTCTTTATTTCTGTTACAGGTAGCGGCGAGGGCGGTCTTGCTGCTTCCATTGGAAGGGTCAAAGGAGCTGTCGTATCATCCAATTCCTTTTTCACATTCAATACTGGTTTTGTTTCAACAAAGGAGTCATCGTCTACAGAAGGTGCTGAATCGCTACTATCCCTTTCCGGCATATTTGCAAAGAGCATCGAAAGAGGATTCGACGACGCTGGCAAATTATTTTGTTTATCCCCAGACTGGGATTTGGATTTCTCTCGTTTTTCTTTCTTCTCCCTTTCCCTACTACTATCTCTCTTTTCCTTCTTATCTTTCTTCTTATGTTTATGTTTCGTTCTATCCTTATCACTTTTATTTTCCTTAACTTTCTCCGACTTATCTTTATCCAATTTGTCCACCTTTGGTAATTTTTCATCTTTGATCTTGTCACCTTCCTTAACTGGTTTAGGAGACTTTCTACCATCTTTTACCGATTTATAATCCTGAGATTTCTCCTTCTCTTTTTCTCCTTTTTCCAATTTCTTATCATTGACTTTTTGAGCTTCCTTAACACCAGAACGCTCACCTTCCTTGTATTTCTCCTTTTTCTCTTTGTAGGCTTCGTCCTTGTACTTCTTTTTATCCTTCTTTTTTTCAGTCTTGTTTATATCCAACGAACCTTTAGAACCGTCTCTCGCCTTATCCTTGTCTCTTTCCTTTTCTTTTTCCTTCTCCTTTTCTTTTTCCTTTTCCTTCTCCCTTTCCTTATCTTGAACAGATCTCTTTATATCTTTCTCCTTAGACTTTGGAGATGGAGCCCGTTTTATGGAAGAAGGGGGTGAAGGACTACGGGGCCTTTTAACAGGGGGAGGAGAAGGTCGTTTACAGGTGGGACTCGAATAACCCTTGCCTCCAGGACTAGGAGGTCTTTTAGATTTTTCTTTACTCCTGCTTTTCTCTTTAGAAGGATCTTTCACTTTTTTATCCTTCTTTTCCTCTACTTTCTCTTTCTTCGTATCCTTATGCGGACTGTCCTTACTTTTCGTTATTTTATCTACTTTCTCAATTTTTTCAGATACTCCTATAGGCTTTACGGTAGTACTTTTATCAGATTGCGTAACCTTCTTACTCTCCGGTGATATTTTCGCTGTTTTTATAGGAGGACCAAATAATTCAGCGAATGAATTAGATGTCTTCGATTCTACCAGGCGATGCTTCTTTGGCTCGCTCACTGATAACTTTGGTTTACCGACCATAACGGGAGCTTTTATCTCGCCTCTGTCCGACGTACTCTCCGTGCTGGATATTACAGCCTGAATATAAAGAATCTTTTTAACAACATATCATTATTAAAAACATTATACTAATATAGGACTTTCAAAAAAGAGACGTATACTTACGCCACCTCCTCTTAGAAGCTTTCTACGAAATTCTTCTGATGGATTATTGATTATTTCATTATGGCGTATAACTTTGTTAATAATTCTTCCTCTAGGTTGTAAGCTAAGCTTATAAAGAATTTGAAATCTTTTGGGTTCATCCTTATTTCTTAAATAGATATGAATTGGAATCAAGAAACCAGCATACCCTGATTCTTTTACCACGTAAGGTGGCTCCTTTATTACTCTTTTAGGTTTTGCAAATGTTTCGTGTAATTGAAAGACAACTGAAAATTAAGAGACAACAATAAATGTAAGAGAAAAGTAGGGAATATTCGCAGAGATATTTATCCATATAAAGGGGTAGGTTTACCTTTCTCAACGTAGTGATGTATGTCTGCGTTGTCAACTCCTCGTACAAAAACTTCCCAGTCATGAGTAAAACCTTCAGGAGTAGTACGCTCACGTAATACTGATGAATGTCCACATTCCAGTGTAAGTCGAATTGCCATTCTCTCTTAGAGGAAATTTGAAATATTTATTTTCAAAGAAAAATAAGAAAAGCGAGAGGGGAAAAGTTAATGTTGCACAAAATCACAAAATCCCATTACATTTTCATGTATCTTCAAAAATGTGACTGAAAGTGCTTTTAAGCATTCGTTATCGAATATATTCAATGAACATGTGTGATGATACGAAGCATTGCGCGCCAACTTATATCAGACGCATACGCAATGACAGTACTTCTTTGCTAATTTTCATGAGCACAAAATGTTGAAGCATTGTGCGGTTAAGAATTATTCTCTATGAAAAAATATTGATCGTCAGATAAGACGATCATAATTCACTTTCTAACTATTTTGAATCATTTGTTTCACTTATCGGCATTCACACAAATCTCATAACTCTTTCTTTTACATTAGTTTCAGCTTGACTATCAACAGGTCAACCAAACGCCATCGAAAACTGGACGCCATCATCGTTATTCCGTAAAATAAAAGTAAAAGAAATTGAAATCAGCGCCATCTGAAGACGGAAGAAACTTTCAACTAGTCGATTGTTACCGAGGGGCAAGAGGGAATGTGACTAATTTCACTGTAGGTGAAACTTTCAACTATTTTCACATTTTAAATTAATGAGACTCGAATAAGGAAAATAACTTTTAAGATTTGGTAATTAATAACAAACCTGATTCTCCTTACCTCTTACCAAATAATCCTTGCTTTTCTATTCAGAATACCGCAGATATATATATATATATTTAACTTAACCACTTTGTATATTTTTTGGTTAGCGTTGTTTACAAACAACTCCATCAACTGACAGTACTTAACAGTAACTTTCCAATAGTCCAACTAGAAATAAATAAGCCTATACATAGTGATCTCTATTTTTGGTGCTTCATCTTCTATTAGTGCTTTTGTTTTTGTATCAAAAAAAAAAGAAAAAAAAACACCAGATTAATTCTTCTGTTATCGACACTATCTAACGATTTAAAACGTATTATTAAGACGTATTATTTTGCATATGACTGATAACATCCGATGATACAAATTAAAAGTATCCGAATAACAAAATAGTCGTTCATATGATAATACGATTAGAAATAAAATCGTCAAAATTATATACTTAATTCAATTTAATATTTAAATAAATTTATATATGTATGTATGTATGTGTGAATATTCATTTGTATAGATAGGCATAGAACAACCAAGAGAAAGAAAAATCAAACATGTTATCATCAATTGTCAAGGAACATCAAAGTAAACAAGCAGCAAGAAAGGAAAGACAAGGTATCATCCTTCTTCCGATACGTTATTTTGATTTACTTGCATGTTACAATGTAAACAAAAATATTTAAAAATATTATTTTTTTAACAGAACAGAAACGTAAAGAAGCTGTTCAAGCTGCTAGCAATTTAACTCAAGCGCTTGTAGATCATTTGAATGTTGGGTAAGTATTACATCAATATATCAATGTATATAACCTATTATATTATAAATATTGTATAATTTATATGTAGGGTAGCACAGGCATATTTAAATCAAAAGAAGCTTGATGCCGAGGCCAAACAATTACAACATAGTGCAACCAATTTTGCCAAACAGACACAATCCTGGTTGAATTTGATAGAATCATTTTCAAGTGCCTTGAAAGAAATTGGCGATGTAGAAAATTGGGCTCGAAGTATAGAAGGAGACATGAGAACTATTGCCACTGCCTTGGAATATTCTTATAAAGGTATAATTGTCATAGAACTACCTATATATTCTAATTAATTGAATTTGATTATTTCTAATATAGCTACGCAAGAAACTCAATCTGCGGGATCATCTTAAAAGTATGAATCTATAAGAGGAGCCATAGTTCTACAGATTTACAAGCGATAGAATGTTTGATTTTATGCTCCCCTTATATAAAAAAAAAAAGAACACAATAAATTATTTATATATTATTATTTATGTAAATAAAATGATTAATTCTTGTTCCTAAATAGAGTCAGATTACAGTGATTTCAAAAAATAGCAAGAAGAATAAATCATTCGATGTAATAAATAATGTAATGTAAATTTAATTTTAGTCTCTGAAACGTATACGATATTATTAATGGCAAATTATCAATCCATAATTAATTTCCATTATATTTTATAATACAGGACAATAAGATTGCTTCGATTTTGACCAATCAGCTTAAATCGCTAATGAGCATGCGCCCCAATTTTGTCCAGAGATTTGATCATGTAAGAAATGCTACAATAAAGTTTTTCACACCGACCGAGTGTGAGCTAGGATTATTAAAGGTTGACATTCATGTCGGAATAAAAATTGGAAGTTAGATATTGTAAATGCAGTTTAAGTTCACTTTATATCATTCGATTGTTTCCGTTACGCGCCAGAATATTAGAGTCTTTTGCGCACGTTAAAGGATTATAAAAAATTAAAGAAATAATATACATTAAATGATGATGGGATCAACGAAGTTGCATGTAATAAAACGAGGTAAGTAGAAATAATGAGAGGAAAAAGAAAACTTTAAGTTAACATTGTCGCAAGAAAATTAATATTTAATTATAATTTAAAATATATTTTTCTTTTATAAAGGCGGCCGTGTAGAAGACGTACATTTCGATAAAATAACATCTAGAATAAGAAAATTGTGTTATGGATTAGATATGGAATATGTTGATCCTGTAAGTAAAAGTTCCTAATAAAATCATAATTATTTCTTTATAGAGAAATTTATTACTTATAACAAATAATTTATTTGTTATTATCTATAGTACGCGGTTACTATTCAAGTTATAAATGGTTTATATGCGGGTATATCAACTGTCGAATTAGACAATCTTGTAGCTGAAACTGCAGCAACTATGAGTATTAAGCATCCAAATTATGCTCTATTAGCTGCTAGAGTTGCAGTGTCTAATCTTCACAAAGAAACTAAAAGAAACTTTAGTGGTATATATAAAATATTTGACAAAATTATATTGTAATTATTATTCCAATCATTTTATCATATGCAAGTATTTGATTTTACAGAGGTAATATCTGATTTGTATCATGCAAAAAACAAGCGCACAGGTAAAAGTCTTTCACTGATTTCTGAGAAATACTTTAACATTATACAAAGAAATGCCGCTAAACTAAACCAATCTATAATACATGATAGAGATTATTTGTACAATTATATTGCTTTTAAAACTCTTGAAAAGAATTACTTATTTAAAATTGATGGGAAAATTATTGAAAGGCCACAATATATGCTGATGAGAGTAGCCGTTGGAATTCATGGTGAAGACATTGATAGAGTTATCGAAACATATAATTTCTTATCAGAACATTATTTTGTGCATGCATCTCCAACTCTTTTTACTGCGTGTACTGTGAAACAACAAATGTCAAGGTATGATTAGAGATTATTATGTTTTATCAAGTAATTAGACTATGACAAAAGATTTCTTTTAGTTGTTTTACATTAACAATGGCTTCAGACAGTATAGAAGGAATTTGTGATACTTTAACAAGATGTGCATTAATCAGTAAATCTGGTGGTGGAATTGGATTAAATGTTCACTGTATCAGAGCAAGTGGTACACGTATAATTGGTACACTTGGAATATCGAATGGTTTAGTTCCCATGTTAAAAGTTTATAATAATACAGCTGAATATGTTTATCAGGGTGGAAACAAAAGACCAGGAGCATTTACTATTTATGTAGAACCATGGCATTCTGATATATTTGAATTTTTAAATCTCAAGAAAAATACTGGTAATTAAACTCTATTGCCGGCCTTAGGATTATATTTATATTACCACGTTAAAGTAGAGAATTAGAAGAATTACGTGTTAAAGTAGATTAAATCAATTTTAATTATCTTTAGGAAAGGAAGAAAATCGAGCCAAAGATATTTCCTATGCTTTATGGATACCAGACCTTTTTATGAAACGTGTTTTAAATGATGACATTTGGTCTTTAATGTGTCCTCGTCTATCTTCCGGATTAGCTGATGTTTGGGGAGAAGAATTTGAAAATTTATATACCAAGTAAGCTGTGTTGTAAATTTTACTAATCTCGTAGTAGTTATTTATATTTTGGTAAGAAATTTAATTGCAATTTGTTTTTAAAATCGTTAATAACTTTTAAGGTATGAAAAGGAGGGAAATTACAAACGACAGATCAAAGCAAGAGAATTATGGTCTGCCATTCTTCTATCACAGGAAGAAACTGGTGGTCCGTATATGCTTTATAAGGATCATTGCAATCGCAAATCAAATCAACAAAATGTAGGGACCATTCAATGTAGTAATTTATGCACCGAAATTGTCCAATATTCAAGCTCTGATGAAGCTGCTGTCTGCAGTTTGGCCTCTATTGCTGTTAACATGTTCGTGAATACTAGTGTAAAAACATTCGATTTTAAAAAACTTAAAGAAATTACGAAAGTTGTCACCCGTAATTTAGATACAATTATAGATATTAATCAATATCCAATTCCACAAGCAAAAATATCGAATCTTAGACATCGACCAATTGGTAAATTGTATGATCCAAATACGATATCAAATGATACAAAATATTTATTAACACGTTATTTTTATGATAGGTATCGGTATACAAGGATTAGCCGATGCATTTATTTTAATGCGTTATCCATTTGAAAGTGAGGAAGCTCAAAAGCTTAATATACAGATTTTTGAGACACTCTATTATGGAGCGTTGGAGGCTAGTTGCGAAATGGCCGAAGAAAAAGGAACTTATGAAACATATGAAGGCAGTCCTATTAGTAAAGGCGTAAGTTATCGATCATAGACAATTTTTAATCCTTATCATATCATTTATAAAGTACTTAATCCTAAGTTAATTCCTTTATATACAGATTCTACAGTATGACATGTGGAATGTCACACCAACAGATTTATGGGACTGGAATAAATTAAAGGCAAACATTGCTAAATTTGGTATAAGAAATTCATTGTTAATTGCATTAATGCCGACATCAACTACTGCCCAAATTCTAGGAAATAACGAGTCTATAGAACCATATAAAAGCAATATATATTTAAAACGCGTTTCATCGGAAGAATTTCAAGTTGTTAATCCGCATTTATTAAGGGAACTTACAAAATTAAAACTTTGGAATGAACAAATAAAAAGTGAAATCACAGCCAATAATGGTTCTATTCAGGCAATTTGTCCTTTTTTACATCATACATTCTATAACTTTATTATTTATCATTTATTCCTTTTTATATGATAAAGCTTACAATGGGAGTATTTTACAGAATATCGATCGCATACCGGCAGATATAAGATTACTTTATAAGACTGTATGGGAAATTCCACAAAAAATTATTCTAAAAATGGCAGCTGATCGTGGACCTTTCGTCGATCAGTCACAATCTTTAAATGTTTATATGGCCAAACCAACATTGGATAAACTCACGTCAATGCATTTTTATGGTTGGAAGATAGTAAGTGTTTAAACGTAAGATAATGCCTAAATAAATTAATATTTCATTGTTAAATTAATGAAAATGAAATCATTTTCGCTCGCATAACTGAGGCGATGTTTACTCAATGAAATATTATTGTAGTAACCCTACTCTTACTGATTAAGGGTCTCAGGTTTATCTTTCGCTTATATTTTTTACATATACAAAACGTATAAGAATACGCATGAGTATAATACGATAAGATAAGCTTGTATAGAGTTCACTTTCTAAATAATGATAAATGGGAAAGATGCATTGCAGAAGATATATTTTGGACTTCGCGACGGGAAAGGATAAAAATATTTTAGCAGATATGATAAATATTCTTAATGTAAAAAGAAAAATATTAATACATATTAATAATAATAAAAATGATATTTCTTTTTTTTTTTTTTTTTAGGGTTTAAAAACTGGCATGTATTGTTTACGAACAGAATCGGAAATGGATGATGGACTTGAACCGTCCACCGTTAATAAAACGAAACTACGGCAACATGTAAATGTTAAAGAACAGGATAAGGAAACACAGACTGAAAAGCATAACGATAATGACGATGAAACTGATTCCAAATTTATGTGCTCTCTTAAAAACGGAGATGCTTGCTTCTCTTGTGGAGCATAATTGATTTAATAAAGTCAATATATTTCTAACTATTGCAATCCAAATAACGGATAGAAAAATAAAATATTTTATGTTTATTTTTTTAAGATGTATAATGAAACAGTATTGATTGAACTTTAACTTTTTTACATAAACATATATATATATTCATATTTTAATAATAAAGAGTTTTTTTATATATTATTGTAATTTATAATTTATAAAACACAACGAACAAATTGGCAATATTGCATAAAAAAATATTTTTCCAAGTATCCTATAATAATATTTCTTAATCAATTATAAATACATAAAATAGTTTTGTCATCGATATAAATTCATCCAATCAAGACGAATCTTTATACAGACGTGATAATCGAAGTCTGCCATTTGTAAACTAACCTTTCTTACATTTCTTAGTTACATTTCTTGCCGGCTTCATATTGCATTTCTCGTATGGCTTCATTTCACTTAACCTTACTTTTTGAATAATGTATGTACAGTTTAACGGGGAAGCATTTTATGTATTCGCGACGCCTAAATAGTGAAATATGATATATATTTGAGAAATAATACATATTTTTAGGTAAATATAAACAAAAAGATATCTGCCACATTGTATTTATCGTTTGCTATATTTTAATCACAAGTAATTATTGTGGATAAATAAGTACCTTCGTTAATTTAAGTACATAAGTTGCATTATGGCAGCAGGCCCGATAGCAGAGCGTAATCAAGGTAATTTATTATTACAATTGCAATTTAATATTATTACGAATGAAAAGTTATGTTATGAAATCATATAATTTCTGATCTATTACATATAGTACATATTTCCAATGCTTTTTTCCAACGTTACGTTTTTTCAAATATATTTTCTTATTTCATACCTTTTCGCTATAATTTTTCTCTTTTGAAATATATTGTCATTTATATTCTACATATTTATAGACGCTACAATCTATGTGGGAGGACTAGATGACAAAGTTACAGAATCTTTGATGTGGGAATTATTTGTCCAATCTGGTCCAGTAGGTAAGCCTAAATATAATGGTTAATTTATCTGTTGTTATTATTTAACATAATTACAAAAAATGATTTGTTTCAGTGAATGTACATATGCCAAAGGATAGAGTAACACAAATGCATCAGGGTTATGGATTTGTTGAATTTATGGGAGAAGAAGATGCGGATTATGCTATAAAAATTATGAACATGATAAAACTGTACGGTAAACCAATCAGAGTCAATAAAGCAAGTGCTCATCAGAAGAATCTTGACGTTGGAGCCAACATCTTCATTGGTAATCTAGATCCTGAGGTAGATGAGAAGTTATTGTACGATACATTCAGTGCATTTGGTGTTATCCTTCAAACTCCAAAAGTACGTATATAAAAATAACATTGTAGTGGTTTAAAAGTGGTGTAAATTAAAAAAAAAAGAAAAAGAAAAAAAACTATTCTCATGTATTCTGTTCTATTTCAGATAATGAGAGATCCAGAGACTGGAAATTCAAAAGGATTTGCATTCATTAATTTTGCTTCTTTCGATGCATCCGATGCAAGTATAGAAGCAATGAATGGGCAGTATCTTTGCAACAGACCGATATCCGTCTCGTATGCATTTAAACGTGACGCGAAAGGTGAGAGACATGGAAGTGCTGCAGAAAGACTTTTGGCAGCACAAAATCCTCTGAGTCAAGCGGACAGACCGCATCAATTGTTCGCCGATGCTCCACCTTTGGCACCACCACCGATGCCAAATTCGACCGCGGTGGCACATCAAGCGGCTCATCATCCTCAACATCACGTAATGCATCATGGGATGGTGGTACCTCCACCGCCGCCACCAGCTACACCAGGTCCACCTATGGGACATCCTCCACCGCCACCCGTGCCACCACCACCTTCCAGCGGATTTCCACCTGCAAGCATACCACCCCCGCCGTTGCCTCCAATGTCAATGGCTGCCCATCCACCTTTACCACCTGGAATGCCACCACCTCTGCCGCCTATGCCAGTACCGACTTCTCAAGCTCAGCAAGCACAAACGAGAATGATGGCACCACCGCCACCTCATTGGGCCGGTGGAGCACCACCGCAGGGTCAATTCCCACCTCCTCCACCTCCGGCATCAAGCGGCGGACCACCGCCGCAATTTGGACAGTTCCAACCTTCACCACCTCGACCTCCACCAGGCTGGAGACATCCACCGCCACCTCCAGTTTCTCAAGGTGGCCCTCCACCACCGCCCCCACCCCAATTTAGGCCACCGTTCCCTCCACGGGGTCCACCACCGCCGCCGCCACCTCACGATGCTGCCCAATATTAATGTTATATATTTCTAGTTCAAGGTACAACATGTATACTCATAGAAAAACATACTACGTACATATTACAATCGAGCCTTAACTAATTCTTATGCAATAGCCGATAGTCGAAGAGAATTATTTTATACGGTAATAATAGAATAAATTTTTTTAAAATTACGTTCATAATGCTAAAAAGCTCGTGTGTTGCTAATAGCTCTGATAATGTAGCGATAAGAGTATTTTAATCTTGACTCTAGTATAATATCGATCGCTTTTATTATGCGAGAATAAGGATATACCGTAGTCGTTCTTCTATCGATCGTTTCGAGCCTGTGTCCAAGCAAGTCGATGAAAACATTCAGCGGATCATCGGCTCACCGTACGTTGGCTATTACAAAAGTTGTGCGTAGTGAAACTTGAAGATTCCGTTTGTCGAAAGGTCAAAAGAAGCGTTTAAAATTACATTTTAACGATTTCATTGTCTTCGTGATCGATGAAACTGTGATTGTTGCATTTCATAAATGCAAACAAAATTAAAAACGAAATTTTGCAACTGATCGTTTGAACAAAAAGATTAATTCGACAGAGCGAGAGATGAGTGTCACTTGTATTATTAATTTCATTAGAAATATGAAAGAGAATAAGATAACAGGCACGTTCGTTTTAATTATATAATGGCTCGTTTCTATTATCAATGCAATTTTGATTTAAAAAACGAGACTGGATACGATAATGCTGTATTAAAACCATTCGTTTGTCCGCCGGACAAATATTGTCCTTATTGTTGTTGCAATTGGCAGTGTTGTATCGTGGTACAAAAACGTCCACCACGACAAATCTGGGAGACTTGGTACTTTTGGTTGGGCGTTGCATTATTAGCTGTTTTTATCCTAATTTCGGTGAGTGTCCAATTGAACGAAAAAGTCTCTTTTAATATTAATTATCGCAAGTAATGTTTCTATTTTTCCTAAATTCCGAGAAATAAATCAGAACAAACGATATATCCCATAAAAGATAATATTTTAACTGTTCATAAAGCAGTACAAAAAATTATTGAACGCTTTACATACTACAGGTGTCTTATATGATTCTAAGAAACATTTCCTTTTTTTTTTTTTTTTTCTCTTTTTTTTTTTTTTTTTTTTTTTTTTTTTGTCGTCCATTCAAAACAGATATTAGAGAGTTATTAAATATTAAGAAAGAAAAAAAGATAAGAACTGTTATCGAGAAAATTGGGCAGCGGTTTTACATAAACCGTGTCCTTGCTTCGCAATTTTAAATTATTTACGAAGGTTCTACGTAAACATAATAGTAGTGTAATAGTCGATCGTGTTGCCATTTGAAAAATATCCTACGTTTGATTCATTTTAAAACTAGGTGTGCAGCTACGTAGTCAGTAATTATAGGCATAACGTTCAAGGTGTGCCGTTCCGACATAATGCACGTATTAATGATAACGAACGAAACCATCGAGCAAATCGTTCTAGACCAACACAAAACGAGGTGTCTATAAGTATAATTCCTACATCAGGATTACTACCGGGTCATAAAAAAATGGTCATGATTTCTACACAAAATAATGTCGCTCATTTGAGTAAGTCAATATTATTGCAAGACACGTTAAAAATATTATCAACATCTGTCAAAAATTATTCATTATTCATTGAATCAATTCAAATGCATTCGAGTTATAGACAAAGGTGACTATAGATCCTTGAATCAAGGTCATGTCTTCTCGTCTTCGCTAGTTCATTGTCAGATTTCGATTAGTTGATTGAAGTGCATACATATATTTTATTTACGTACATATACTTTTATTGTACATACATATGTATGTGTGTATATATATATATATAATTAACGGATACTATAATTAATTTATATATGTTGCAGCTCCGATCGTAGCCTAAAATTAGAGCTTTCATTTTTCTTTGGAGAAGTTCGGAAAGAAAGTATGACGGTTTAGAACATTCTGTATTATGAATGCTCGGTTACTATGACACCTCGATCAACGTTTAACGATGAGAATGAAGGCATGCATTTTATTGCATTTGATCGCGTGTACTTATCGCAAATGCATTATTTTATGCGATCTCGACATAATGGTAGACGATGGTTAATGTTCAATGATTATGAGGAAAGATCTGCAGGGAGACTGGACGAACTCAATTCAGCCTTTTAATCTTGCTGAAAAGATTTCAAGTCAAACGACTTTCAAGTTATATAAAAAGTATTCAGAGAGAGAGAGAGAGAGAGAGAGAGAAAAAGAGATAGAGATAAACGTTATCAATACGAGGTCGATTCTTTGATTTCGTGATCATAAAAATCGAAAGAAAAGCAAAATAAAAGGAAAGCAGAAGGGAATAATGAAAGGCATCGTTTACAGACTGCTATAAGATTTAAATATCAAATTGATACTTGAATATTAGATTTCTTGAGAGATATTAAAAAAGCTTAGCCCAATCATTTTCAATCTCATGTAATCAATATTTCAGATATTTTTATTTTCATTGAGTGAAAGAGAGAGAGAGAGAAAGAGAAATTTAATTTGCAAAGCTAATTTTAGAAATGATGAAGTGAGAAAAGAGAAGATTCCTTTTTTGCCGACTATGTTAAATATTTATTCATTTTTATTAATCAGAATAACATATGTAATCACTTGTGATAACAAACGTCAAATTTATTCGACGTATCAATCCTCTCTCTCTCTCTCTCTCTCTCTCTCTCTCTCTCTCTCTCTCTCTCTCTCTCTCTCTCTCACTCACTCACTCACTCACTCTCTCTCCTCTCCTTTTCTCTTTCTATCAGAGAGTGAGAGAGAGAGAGAGAAAGAAAATAAAAAACAGTGAAAGATAAAAAAAAAATAAAATTCGAAGAGTAAAGATATCATGATATCGAAGAACAGACACTGGATTTACTAAACGGCAAAGAGGAAATTCCATCCTCGAAGGAGACTGCCTTATACCTTCGCTCTCAGTTGTTACTACTTTGAAACTCGTTTTCTTACGATGGAGGATCGAGGATGGGCGTTATTCCCATTAACAATTAAGAAGAAACGCACAGTTCGCGGTTGATGCAATTCTCTCTCTCTCTCTCTCTCTCTTTCTCTCTCTCTCTCTCACTCACTTTTTCTCAGTCTTTCACTCTATACTCTTTTCATCTCGAGAAGAGAAAGAGCACGGGAGCTAATTAAACAGGACAATCGAGCGGCGAGCCACATACGTTCACTCTACGTTCTACCCCTCTCATCCTCTCCTCTCCTCGAGTTTTATCCCTATTGCAGAGACCCTTCCTTTTTCGAGATCCTTACTCATGATAAAGGTAAATCGTAGTAATCTTCGAGGGAGAAAACGATCCAAGAGAAGTTGTACTACTACCTATACGTAATATCTATATAACGAAGCAAAGTTCAACGTTATTCGAATAAATTTTGATTTAATCTCTTTATCATTAGAAATTGACAAGATGTATAATTATCAAACAAGTAACAAGTTGGATATTAACGTCGAAAGGATATATTGGAAGAATTATAGAAGAATATTATATGTTCTCTTTGAAGAGAACATTTATTCGATCCTCGTATCTCTTTCTTTCAACATTAAAAAGGATTAATGTTATAGAAATTGTCACGATGATTTTCAAAGAAATTCTTACGATGCTGCAATGGAAAGAAAGAAAGAGAGAGAGAGAGAGAGAGAAAGAGAGAAAAAGAGTAGATCGCTAGCGACCTCGTTCGTCTGTAACGAAGTGTCATTCCGATAACCCAAGCCGGCTTTTACTGTCTCTTGATGCCGATAAAGAAATGTACAACAACCGGCCCCATACATTCTCTGTTTAATGTTGCATGCACGGTAAACCAAGCGAAGAATCAAGCAACTACGTGCTCTACGAAAGCCAATGACTTGGCACAACTCAAGTCGATCATCGAACGAATGTCAATTAGGGAATGATCCATCGAGTTCGCATATTTTTTTCGAATCTTTCTTTTTTTTTTCTTTTTTCTTTTTTGTTTTTTTCTACTTATAAAGCTCATGTGAAGATCTATGTTTGTGAGTATCAATGTAAATGATATAATAGTATATATTTGAATTATATTCGTATCTGTGGTCTTTAGAATACAACTGATATGTAAACGATGTGCGAACAAAGAATTTCTTAAGTATCACCTTAACACGTTCGTACTTTTATGACTGCAGAACAACAAGTAATAAGGAATATCATTATGTTAATTATGGGAACGATGTAAATGAAATAATTATGGGAAGGGAAAGAAAATATCTAAAAGTCTTTTGTTCGCCCTAAGAAAACTCGTAAATTTTATTTCGTTCATTTTTCTTTTTTTTCCTTTTTTTCTTCATTTTTGCATCTCTCGACTCTAAATACTTTCTACGTAATATTATATAAAGTATTATAATTTCTTTGAATTTTAAATGATGTATTTTTTAAAAGATATAATAAATGTATAGATATACATTTTGTACGAATCGATATTAGACGATTATTTTAATGAAAGGTCGAAACAAAAAGGGATATTAACATTCCTACGGACGTAATGTTTTGAGTTGTTCGTTCTTCAAATTTTTGGAATCATCTCAAGGAATTATACGTTCAAAGAAATACGTTTGCGTCGCAAACAGTCGAGAAAAGCGTATTACTATATTCGACGGCTGTATCAAGAGGCGCCTGTCGTCCGTGCAAAGATGTTGTTCTTCCAATAAATCGGTTGACTTTAGGAGCTTCTCGTCGTCGTCTTTCCGACGACGAAAAAAGGAGGCGCCCGACGAAAGAGCGCGCGTAGTATAATAAATTCAATAAATTAAGTCGCTCGAGATAGAGCGAACGAAAGAGAGAGAGAGAGAGAGAGGTAGAGAGACAGAAAGAAATTGATAAAGAGGAAAATGAAAAGAAGAAGCGCAGAAAGTCTTCTTCAAAATGGAGAAGGATCGTATCTTTTTTATTATATATATATATATATATATATATATATATATATATATATATATATTTGTGAAGTCTAAATTAAAATAGATTTAGAAGAGAAATTCGCCGAGAGCGATGGGATTATTATTTCAAAAATTGTCATCATATCGATATAGAAATTTTGAAAGGGAAAAGATTTCGTATTTAATTAAAAATAAATTGACGAATTATGTTATTTATTAAACAATACATTATTTATATCATTTCAAATATATACTTTTTCGACATCAATCTTAAGATCTTATTATAATATAATATTATCAATAGAAAATAGCAAGTATTTGTTTTTTTTTTTGTTTTTTTATTTTTTGTTTACTTTCCTTTTGTTCTTCAGGAAAAAATAACTAACAAGTCTTTATAAAAAAAAAATCAATATGCCACTTGCTATATGCTAGAGAGAGGGAGAGAAGGAAAAAGAAATAGTAGGAAGGTGATGGCACACGACACGAGTCATCGAGGTGTCATCGCCTTTCTCTAAGAAAGAGAAGGAGTTATATTCTTTTTATTCTACCTTTTTCTCTTTTTTCTTTTTCTTTTTTTTCTTCTTCTTCTTCTTCTTCTTCGTTGACGTCTTCCTCATCTTTTTTCACGAGGTTTCCTCCTCTTCTAGTGGGAGGTACTAAAATTAGAGAAGACGGTGCGAAAAACGGTCCAGTCTTGTAGCTTCTTTCGAACACTTCCAAATGATCCTTCGTAGCGATAACACGTTTTCGCGAGCATCTCGCCGGTGAGTAGTTTGATACATACGGTTTAAAAAAACAGAACAAGTCGTTTCGTAATATCGATCATCGTAGTACCGTCATGAGTCGCCGAAGAGAAAACCGACGTATCTTGGTTCGATTCTCAAACGGACGATAAATTACGAGCAATCGATTTTTAGAAATCGATGAAAGTTTTGGGAAATTTCTAAAGTGGATTCGTTTTGGCCACCCTTTCGAAATGTCTCAAATATCGATCCATGGAAGATTTATAGTTATTATCATTGTCGTCTGTACTATCAATCTTACGAAAGTTGAGGGTAAGTATATTCTTATTTAGTAGAAGAGAATGTAAACAATGTATATATGTGTGCATGCGCGTGTGCGTATATTTTTTGTAGGTAAGTGTTCTATGATTATACGAGATGAGGACAAATATTGTCGTACTTCGCTATATGACATACGTCTTATGGAAACGCGATACAATTGTAATTCATATGATTCTTATTTTACAAGTCTATCGTAAATGTAACGTTACCATTTATCACATCATTAGGTAGGAAGTGCGTCTGCACGAGCAAAGATTGTAAAGAAGCTGGGGAAGACACCTGCGAGACAAAGTACTACTGTTACACCGAATTGATTCTCTTTACTGATCAGGAATTTGGGGAAAATACGACCACGCGAGGATGCACACAGTGCGTAAATTTTAAATATAACATCAAATGGTTTGGTATTAAAATTTTCCAAATTGACAAAGTTTTAAATAAAACTAGGGATTGACGTCCTTTCAAAGGAAAAATCGATACAAGAGAGATGTACATAAAGTATAGATTTTATATCGACTCTATTATTATTCGACCTTCGACCTTTCTTCGTTATTGGATAATAAATCCCAGTCATTAAAACTGGTATACGGACACGATTGAAAAATGATTCGTTATGTCTGTATCCGGTTTGGTTACGTTAATCGAAGATGTATCATATAAATTCACAAACGTGTTATAGTTTATGACGAGATAATCAAGCCGAAAAATTCGAAATGATCGTTTCTCCTTTACCTTGTTTTTTATCTCTTGAACATTTTTAGCGATGACGGAAAGTCAATGCCGCGCGTAGAAAATGTGTTTCGTGTTAATAAGTGATTCTTAATATAAAAGAAGAAAAAAAAAATAATAAAAAAGAAACACGCTTTGTATTTTATCCATACATATCAAATATTAAATACATTTGCTTTCATTAAGACATTTGAAATATATTTATCAATCGAACTTAGAGATAGAAAAAGTTAAAGAAAAGGAAAAAGATACGATCAGGTCATAAAATATTGTAATTTATTTATCGTTAGGATGATATACGTTTATATACATATATATGGTATAGACGATGGATTGCCATTTTCCAGGAGCCCAACGCCATTGTTGTGCGAGACAAAGTCTTGGGTCACGAGGTCAAAGCTATCGACGTCGTCGTCGTCGTCGTCGTCGTCGTCGTCGTCGTCGTCTTTTGACGACGACGAGAAAGACGAGATCGTTGAAAATCGTCATGTCTCGTCGACGAGACTTTGGATACGTATGTCCTGGCCAAGATTAAAGTGTTGTGACAGTCAAGATTATTGTAACGCTGATCATCTCGGCGACTTGTCCACGTGGATACGCGAAAGAGAAAAAGAAGAAGGGAAAAAGAGAAAGAAGATCAAGGAAAAAGGAGAAAAAGTGGGAAAGGAAGAGAAATTTTCATTCGGAAGAATGAATCAAAATAATAATTTAACATCTAACGCAGGAATAGATCAAAACGACAATTTAGAATCGAGCAATAAATTTAACCAAAATAACAATCTGATATCGCTAAACTCAAATAGGTCGTTCACAAATTCTTCGAGTAGCAGTCAAAATCAAATTATTTCGATCTCTTCGGAGTCGATATCAACGATCAACGAAAATCTTGATTCAAATCATTTTCTGCAACATCGGGTAAGGCCGCTCCACGTCGCTGTTTTTGTACTTGCTATATCTGCATTGATATCCGTCCTGGCTGCCTGCTACGTCATTATGAGGTTCATACGTTTTCTGTTTTTTTTTTTTCTTTCTTTTGTTTTCTTTTCTTTTTATCATTATCGCCGCGATTATTATTGTTATTAATATCCTATTCTTTGCGAGAGGCTATCGCAACTCTTTTATTTGATTTTCTCCTTCTTTATCTTTCTTTCTTTCTTTCTTTTTTTTTTCTTGCTTTTCCTTTGTTTCTATCTTCTCTTTCGTTGTTTACCTCGTCAAGATTCTATATCCTATGTAAATCAGTATGATTGTATTGGTATGCGAATGTGTCATACTTCTCGTAGAACGTGTTTCGAAATATACCGATTTTTTTCGCGATCAAGTCACGTTATTGAATATACATTCTATATTAATTTCTTATTAGAACGTTGATTTATGCTCGTACTTTTATCGCAGAGCTTTATCTTCTCTACGTCGTACGAGTAGGAAGGATAAGAAAAATGCTTTGCTAAAGGAAACATGTTGGAGGAATATTTTGCGACTCGAGTTGCCGATAATCTTGGAATATAATAAATGTTAAGGTAAACGTGTTAATTATTGATGAGCTCGAAACTATTATCGATTGGTCTTTATACTCTTGAAATTTATACATGTCTTGATCTTGAATAGTGTTTATGAATATTTTATAAGGAAAATCAACAAAATAAAAAAAAAAAACAAACAAATAAAATCGATGGAATACGTAGAACTCGTCGAAATAAATGTCGAAAACAAGGTCATTCGAAAGTATCAAGCACGTAGTATAGAGCTAGAAAACCCGCATAGATATTACAATTTGGCTGTTCTTGTTTTCTTTTTATCATTTTTCTCTTTCTCTCTTTTTTCTTTTTCTTTTTTTTTCCTTCCTTTTTTTCCCCCCTTCCTCGACGACTGACTTTTAGCGAGTTTTTTTTTCCGACAGTTTGTCGCGACGTTTCTAAAAGGCGCACAAGCCAGACCGCCCTCTTATCGGTCTACCTCCCTGCCAGAGGGCCACTCGAGTACAGATAGCCTGGGTCCCTGAAAAGGCCCCATGGAGTTCTGCCCTCTAATCTTCGGTCCTCCGAACGCTTAAGTGGGTTTTCGAGTTCAGAAATATTCGGTCGGTCGAACCTTACATCTCTCTCTCTCTCTCTCTCTCGCTCTCTCTCTATCGCTCTCGCTCTCTCTCTCTCTCTCGCTCTTGCTTTTTCTCTCTTTTTCTCTCATATACATACGGACGTTATTTTCTTTCCGTCTTCTTTATCTCATCTTTACGTTTTCTTTTTTTTTCTTTATCGTATTCCTTTCCATTCGACATCGCATCGGTAAAAGCCTTCGATGGTCTTTAATGATTTCCATCGATACTTAAACTCTGACAAGACTCTACGAAGTTCTTTCTATCTGATTTATTACCGTACATATTAACCTACGACCCATCCTTAATTACAATTATAATAATTAGTTTCCTGTCTTTTTATAGGTTCTTGAAGAAAAATTCGTACATAACTGACAGCATGGAATAACAATGTGATATATCAATGGATATATTGCTTCTTATTTAATTCTTTAATATAAAACTAGGTAAATTAAAATGAATTAAATTTTTGATTTCATTCGAATAATCCTATATGCTATTAAATAATTCACACAATATATTTTAGTTATAATTTATTAGTACGTATATAAATCGAATTTAACGATTTACGTCACTGTCCAATGTAAAAATAAAAGTGATTTCTTATCTTTTATTTAGGATGACGAATCAAGAAGTTTCGTCCTATTTGAAAAATTTGTCTTCAGCGTGGGTCGTCGGGGCATAACACATGGATGGCTACGAGACAAAGAATATTTCGTGAAGCACTCGACGGAGACAGTTTCCTGGCAAACATAACGACTCGTTTGGCGCCTATCTCTAACGTTCCTATGTGCATCATGACGCAGCCATGTGGAGACCAATGTCCTTCGAAATTCCATCTACTTAGAAAACAGGGACTAAAGGTTTTACGAACATTGGTACCAGGTGTTCCAACGATTTTAATATTATTAGTCATCGTTAGGGTAGCTTTCCTAACACTCGAAAAGGTTATAAATGCTCGTCGAAAGAAAGGGAAACTCGAAACTTGAATGTAGAAATCGTTTTCGTATGATTATGAGAACTACTTTTTTTTAATTTTTCTCTATCGTTCGATTGTGCGATTGTCACACATCGAAACTATTCTAAAGCGTTATAGCTTTTTCTTCTATTTATAAATAGCGTGTAAATAACTGCAATTGTAAATGCACGTTTATACCATATATATATATATATATATATATATATATATATATATATATATATATCTTATGATCGATGAGATTCGTAAATTAATTGATTCGTGTTAACAGAGTGTTCCTTAAGTACTCTTAATATCTTATTGCTACGTGTTATGCTTCGAGAAAAATGTTAGGAGATTTGTACAAATCTGTTGTTTATTACGAAATTTTATAGCGATTACTCAAATTTAACTACGAGTACTTGAGTAACACTCTTTAGAGATATGAGTATATAAAAGCGATTTATATTTTTTGAATAAGTATAAAATATTTAATTAAGCGCGATTAAATTCAATCTCGTTTCGATAGTCGAGTAATTATCAAGGAAGGAATACGTATATTTTGCAAGTGTGCGATACCGAAATAATCGAGCATGATTTAAATTCAAGCAGAAAAAGCGTGACAAGATGAAAAAGAGCGGCCGAACGAGCAAGCGAGAGAGAGAGAGAGAGAGAGAGAGAGAGAGAGAGAGAGAGAGAGAGAAGACTGGTCGTGGCGCGTTCGATTTGTTGGCCTAAATGAGTCACGTAGAATGCAACAAGACGGGAATAAGATCTTACGGAGCGAATACAGGCCGTCCGACGGTAGCTGGCATCCGGGAACTTGAGTTGGACAGCGCTCTACGATCAGATATGTCGAGTGAAAAGTAAATATATTTAGTGAGAAGGACTTCACTAGATAGATTTACCAACACATCCATTCAAATGATCTCTCGGAAGTTTTTGCTAAAGGAAACTTTCTTGCTCTTTTTCTGTGAATACTTTCGTTGAGAAGCAACATAAATCAACGATAAAGTTTCTTCCTCCATAATTTTTGAGAATGTTCACTATCAGGATTCTAACACGATTTCAGAGATATATTTTTCCAATATGCAAATAAGAGAAAGAGAGAGACTTAAAGAGATCGGTCTACCACGGTTATTAAGAATCGATAACACAAACGCAAGGACAAATCTCGAGAGTTTCAATTTATATTCCAGAATATCCAGCGTGACGTATAAAATATATATATATGTGCGTGTACAATACAAACGTACCACTAAATATAACAACTCGACACGTTTTGCGAAGGCGTACAAGCAACGCACTCGTTTATGTATTTCCTTCGCATTCGCTTATCCTTGCAAGTTGCGCTTAACGCGAAGGAACGAATATACGGGAACATTTTCCTTGGCCACTCTTGCTATCGAGGAGTAAATATATTGTACGTACCCCTATCTATATATTAATGTATATATTTTTTCTCGATATCTTTGAAGATTTGCGAGAATGCCCCATGATGAACTTTGCTCGTGATGGGAGAGAAAGAGAGAGAGAGAGAACTGAACGAGAACGTTGAGAATTTCGTGTCGGTAATAAAATTTAAAGAAGAGTCGCCGAGACTTCAGATAATACGATTAAAAAAAATACAGATAAAGAGAGGGGGAGAGGAAGGGAGAGAGAGAAAGAGAGAGAAAGAGATAAGGCAAACTCGTCGAAAGCTTGCCGTTGTTTTATTTGTGCATGCACACATACTAGTTATATATATGTATTGTGTGTCCATATGTCACAGATGTATAATTGTGTATATACGAATATATTATGTGGATATGTGTGCGAACTAAAAGGGCGCCAAGATACTTTTGCCCCTCGTACACGTTACAACACCCGCCTCGCTGGAGCGATAAAGGAATTACAAGAGTACGAATACAAGCGCGAACGCCGGCGCGATAAAAGGAATTTGAATTTCCTGAAGCGTGAGAGCAAAGATACTACGCGGCAATAATACGGGCCAATCGTAAAACATCTGTTCATCTGTTCTTATTTTTCTAACGTTCTATCGGTTCTTCTTCTTTTTCTTTCCTTTTTTCTTTTTTGTTTTGTTTTAAAAGAAATTAAAATATCCAAATTTGAAATTTATCAAATCTTTCCAAACGTTCGTAATAAAAATTATCATATGAATTAATATCCTATTGTCCGATATTCTTATTTCAAATAAAATTGAAGAGTCAATTGCGGTTAGGATGATGAGATTCTAGTAGCGGCATTAATGGCTCACGAATTACTCCTGTCCAAACAATATCGATCCACCTCACGAAATCATTTTACCTTTGTATCGATAACGAGCGAAACGAAGAAAAGGGATGGTCGGCTTGTTTTATTTATCTGTCTATAGGTCTATATACATACATACATACATACATACATACATACATACATACATACATACATATATATATATATATGTATATATATATTCCATTAAAGTGGGCCTTGTTGTAGGACGTAAAGAGTAGGGGAGAAGAACGCCCCGAACCGGTCCTCGATCTCTCTTTTGGGCCAGGTGCCCAGCGTGGAATCAAAAGTAATGTCCCTAACTGAATGGCTTGACCACCGTACTCGTTTCGCTCGACTAAAATCAATCACTCCGCTTAAGCGCAGCGATTCGACGAGCTCTTTCCACTGTTAGATTTACCGCGAGCATCAGCCCCGTCCAGTATCTTTGGACGAGCAAACATCTTAGATAAATATCTCTACCTTGTCTAACTCGTCTTTCTACCTTCCTCCTGGAGAATGACTCCGGCAAGATGACTTTTTTTTTATACTTTTGCTACCGATTCTCTTATATGATCGCATGCTTTTGTCATCATCCTAACGAATTCCAAGTTTCAATATTTCGATATTATACAATTCGATCTTGTTTGGTCAATGTTATCGAGATATAAACGACTTAATCAAGGATTTATAAACGAATTAGAACTTTCATTAGTATTTAAAAATTTTAATAATATTCGTTACAAGTTTCTATCGACGTTGAAGTGTGTCTAGATTTTTAGAACACTCTAGAGATCTTTCTACATTGTAGAAAGATAAAGAGGGTGGAGTCAATGGACGATGCCTCGAGGTACGTTTTAACGAGAAACAACAAATATGATCTGTGATTATCTAGTTCAACGATAACTGTATATCGTGTATGCTAACAGCTATTCTTTTTTCTTGAAATAACGGAACAAAAGTTGCAACCGTAAAATCAAGAATATATAAAAAGAAGTCGAAGAGAGAAAGATAGAGAAAGATTTCAATCTCGTGCAGTACGTATCTGGGACACGCGCGAATGTTTCAAAGCATGCGTATATGCGAGAGGGGCAAAAAGAATTCACTCCCAAAAGCGATAAAAGAACACGAGACGTTTCGTGATGTTGCGTAGAAGAGGGATGATGGGAGAATGAAAGAGAAGAGGAAACATCTCGAGTGAGCCCTCCGGCAAAGACTTCGCGGAATTCGCTTTAAGCGAATGTAATTAAACGAACGAATAATATCTAACGTTAAAGCCCGTCCGACGACGTCGCGTATAAAACCGGTCTCTACCCAGGTGCCTTGAGATTTCGATCGATAGATCGATTCATCGAACAGTTGTGTCGCGCGCGAAAAGACAAAGAATCAATGAAATCGCTGGCTAAAGTTATTATTTCGTAAAGTTGATTTGACATAATAATTTAAAATTTTTATATAATTCATCTTCCTCTTATATACATACATATACATACATACATACATACATACATACACACACACATATATATATTATAGTATATTTGGTCATTTTTCGATAATCCAGGCTAATCAATTTGATTTAAATAATCATTATTGATAGCTCGTTATCGAGACGAAATTATTTCTTCGTATCAGTTATTTGTATGATTACAAATTATATAAAAAGAAAGGAGTCGATAATTGATTTATTTTCAAAGCTTTCTTTTTTTAAAGTAAAGTAGATATGTAATAATTATTAACTCGTTAATCAAATGCAAATAAAAAGAAAAAAATATCTTCGAAGGATTAAGTGAGGCTCGCGTGCGTGTTAGACCGAACAAAGGTAAAAAGAAAGGCACAGCTGATGACGAAGGCGACGATGATGATGATGATGATGATGATGATGATGATGATGATAATGATAATGATGATGATGATGCTGCTGGCACGAGAGTCCATGGATTTGCGAGATGACGGAGGATCCGATGCAGGAAAGACGGCAATGAGTGCGACGGGTGCACGCACACGCGTGCAATACACTGGCGTCATTGCCTCGGGGCTCAGGCGCCACTCTTTTCCCTCTCTCCCTCTTCCTCCCCTCTCACTCTCTAGTATTCCTACACTTCCCGTCGTATGAAAAGAGAAGGAGAAACTTTACTTCGCCAGAGCCCCGTCGACGATACGCGAGTGTACAGTACGAGAGGTGAACGTTGATCTAGTTGTTTATTTACTCACTTTTCTATGATATGTGTGTACACACTTATATAGAGAGTGATCGATTAACTATTATCATTTTAAATATCGTAAGTATCCTGAACTATGAAATAAGTAAATTTACATCGTTCGATATGAAAAATTTTCTAATCTCCTCTCTGTAGTTTTTCTTTTTTTCTCATGTTCAATTTTGTACTGAACTTATTGATAACAGTTATCAAATATATATATATACACACATATGTATATGTATATACATATGTGTCCTCAAATAGTTTGGAAAAGAATATTGACATCGAATTAGTATAATGTACAAGGAGAACGACGGCGACGACGAGGACGACGAGGACGACGACGACGACGAGGACGACGACGACGACGACGACGACGACGACGACGACGACGATAGACGAGATACACAGACACAAGGGAACGAAGAAGAAGCACTATATCGCAAAGCAAGAGGCGGACTCGCTCTCGCTTTAAAAACTAAGCAACGAACGTTCTTCTTTGGCAGAACGGTTGGTGCTTGTGTGCGCGAGAGAGGCAGGCAAGCAGGCAGGCCGGCTGCGTTTACTCGCTTCGAGCCGACCGACGGCGACGGCATTCGCTTTTCGAACAGCAAACTCGAAAGGGAAGAGAGGGAGATTCGTCAGTCGGCCGTCGAAGCGCGCCGAGTTCGGACGTGAAATCTGTTCTTCCTGAACGTCTTCGTAACGCATCTCTCTCTCTTCCCCCTCTCTCTCTCTCTATCTATCTTTCTCTTTCTCTCTTCTTGATTTTATTTTACAAATCATTGTACTTTTACATTTACTGCTTTCTTTATTTCTTCGTCACCCAACTCGTCGGCATTAAATCGACGACGTCAGTGATAAAACTTGATCGTTATTACAACTCTTTATCACTTCTTTCCCTTAGTATCCAATCAAATTGAAGAAATTCCACGTTGTTCGGATAAGAATAACCAATCAAAATTATCATCATCATCATCATCATCATCATTTTCTTTCTTTTTCTTTTTAATCCTCTACCCGATTCGAATCTTCTCCTTTTCATTTCTTTCGCTATCATTATCTCTTTTTGTTTCTTTCTAATCATTATTATAAAATTATTGTGATTCTTCGTATCAAAGTGCCAATCATGTTGTCCTGGGACTTTTTAACTATCGCCATGATAACGAGCATCATCTTGGCTTACACCAATGGAACCTCCATAGATTTCGATTCTACCGATTATGATGCGCTTTCCGAAAATGAAGGAAAATCGTCGGACGATAAAGGTAAGCTGTCTATTACGATATTAGTTATATATATATATATATATATATATATATATATATATGTATATATTTACGATTCTTACGACAGTTTTATATATAAAAGCTGTTCACGTAACTTTATAAGCAGTTAGATTATGACAGTCAACAGTGTAACACTCTCAAGAGAGATTTACAATTTCTGGAACAATAAAAAGGATGGAGGATGTATGTATTGTTTTCTCTATCATTCTCTCTTTCATCGACGTAAAGTACTTAGGATTCATTGTGAAATTATACGACGTCTTTGTATATCGGTCTTCTCTCTCCAAGAATTGAATGGATAGTATTATGTTTGTTTTTAGTAAAAATTTTTAGGAAAAATGGAATATATAAATCTTTCAAAACAATTGTGTGTACATAACCTTTATATAAATAATCCTGATCTGAATACTTGTCAATTTGATTTAAATAATTTTAATATGCATTATGTATTTTGTATTGTGTGAAAACACTGTTATGGGAAAGTCAACGGCATTACTCATCCCGAGGCCCCCTTAAAGCTTTCGTTGTATCGTCCAATGAGATTTGTTTATTCTGGTATCTTTGGGCGCACGTGCGACCCTAAGCGCGTGTTCTGCATCATGGTGTATACGTGCACGTGAAAGATGAAAAATTTCCAACTAATTATGATTTCAATAACTTAATAAGTAAGATGACGATACAGATTTTAGTCTTATTAAAACTGAATTGATAAAATTCGTAATTATAAAATAAAAATAATGTTTTCTACGATGTACAAGATCATCTCTGCGAATGATCAAAATCAAGAAATCGATATTAGAAATGAATTGAATTAAATGTTCATAGAATCCTTATTTTTCGTAAATTAAGTTTTTTTTTTTTCTGAAACATCTTACACCTATAATATACTCTAAAAAGATTGGAAAACAAGCTCGATCGAAAAGGAGGCGAGACTAGATGGGCGCGTCCTACCTCTTCTCCTCGTCGCCTTTATGGCTTGAATTTACAAGGAGAACTTTGGCTCTTTACTGATATTCGATTGCCAAGATATAAATAGGCGCTCCTCGATGTTAATGCAAAAGGGTGGAAAACTTTTGCGGATAACGTTTCCCCGTAATATCCACCGAATCGAAATATCCACGAGATCGACCATAAAATTTTTTCAAATTATTTGATTTTGTTTTGCTATACTTGCCAAAAGTATTCCCGCACTTATTTTAAAAATGGATTCAAAGAGTTTAATCTCGGGAATATTGACAAAATTGCGGTTTATTATAGGGATAATTAAAAATTGAAAGAGTTTTGATTTTTTAAGACGTCCTACGATTTATAATATACATATATATATATATATATGTATTTATGTATATAGAGTATAACATGAGTTTAAAAAGCTATTGGTAAATTTGCCAAATAGTACTTTATACGTAAACAAGGAACGTGAACACACTTTACATATTCTCGTCGAAGCGAACAATAATAATTGTTGGAACGGCTGGTCTACTCGGCGCCGAGAATCAAACAATCCAGGTTATTTTTTGCTATCTGATACTATGCTGTTATTTTTTCAAAGAACAACGTATTAGTATGTGTGCGGGGATGGGAGAGAGAAAATGAGGGGAAAAAATTATACGCTTGGAATAATTAATTCTTTCCCATGACTAATTAAAGCGCACATTATTTCGAGTGATTTGAATTTTTTTCTTTTTTCTTTTTTTTTTTTTTTCTTTTTTCTTATATGATCGAGCACCGAAAGAGATTTTTTTTCTCGAATTAAGAGAGAAAGAGAGAGAGAGGGGTGGGGGGGGGGGGGGAATCTGACAATAAAATCGTTTACTCGAACGTTTAGCAAAACATTTGCGAGAGATCTCTCGTCGTCCATCCGTGGGATGAACGATCGATGGATGGATTTACGTTTCCACCAAAGTGGCGCCCGCGATACTCCGTATAAATACGTTTCGAGATAGAAAGAGGACAGATAGAAAGAGGACGAGAAAGAAGAAGAGAGATCGTAAAGGATATACAGCTGCTTCAAAAAGTACTCGAACGCCGTTCTTAAGCGTCCAACTTATGTTTTTAATCGCACAAAGCTCCGTTGCGTTCAAATGATAATAAAACGTAGAAAAATAATCAGTTTGTTTAATTAACAAACGCAAATTGCCATTGAATTTTGTTAATTGAAAAAAAAAAAGTAATGGAACGCAGATATACGTAT